TTGATTCACTTCTGGAAAGTTCAAGCATTTGTTTTGCAGTGCTGGGTGTCAAGCCCAAGACTGCTCTTGGAAGGAAAGAGTAACCCTGAGCTGTACCCCAACTCTTCCTCCTCCTGTCTTTCTTGTCATTTTATCTATTGTCTCATCTTATTAGTTGATAATTTCATAAAATGCATTTTGATCATATGAATGTCTCCAACTCTTCCTACCTACTTCCTTACCCACCTAAATTGTCCTAAAAAAACCTCATCAGACACAGTTTGTCATGCCTGTTAGACTCTTGGATGTGTGGTGACTACCAGGGCCACACCCTCAAAAGACAGACTCTGTCTCTCCCAAAAGCTATCAACTGCCATTGGCTTCTAAGCTAGGGTGGAACTTCTTGCCCACCTCCATTCTGTCCTGGGATTCTGGCTGACTTGAGCGGCCACCTCCACTCTGTCCTGGGATTCTGACTGACATGAGCGGCCACCTCCACTCTCTCCTGGGATTCTGACTGATGTGAGCAGCCCAGCTCCACTCTCTCCTGGGATATCTGACTGACGTGAGCGGCCCAGCTCCATTCTCTCCTGGGATTCTGTCTGATGTGAGCGGCCCAGCTCCACTCTCTCCTGGGATTCTGACTGACTTGAGTTCCACAGGTCCTGTGCATGCATCACATGCTGTGAGCTCATAGGTGCCACTCCTATTTAAAAACTGAGCGACTTACACACAGGAAAGTACACAAACATGGAGTGTATAGTTTGATAGAGCCATCATGTCAGCACCTCCCTCCCCCATGCCCTCACCAAGTCTGTTCTGACTGGATCTCCCTAGGAAAGTTTCTTGGTGTAACTGAATCACAGTCTTGTTATTTTATGTGTGGTGGAAGCCATGTTTTTGTTTCTGTTTTTTTTTTTGGGGGGGGGGGTTTCAAGACAGGGTTTCTCTGTAGCTTTGGAGCCTGTCCTGGAACTAACTCATATAGACCAGGCTGGCCTCAAACTCACAGAGATCCTCCTGCCTCTGCCTCCCAAGTGCTAGAATAAAAGGCAAGTGCGCCACCACCACCCAGCTTAGAAGCCATGTTTTAATATTCTTTCCAAGTAGAAACTTGAGGAGAAGCTAGAGTTCTGGATGGAGAAATTTGATCAAGACACCGAAGCAAAACAGAATGAGTTGAATGCCCTCAAGGCTGCCAAGGCCGCCGACCTGTCGCACCTTCAAGAACTTGCAAAGACGGTAAGGGGGGATGGGGACCCTGGGGATGAATGGGGACTAAGCTCACTGGGGAAGCCTTTGGCCAGAAGTAGAGGTGTGACTGTAAACCACCGGGATTCTTTGATGATGGTGACCACAGCAGGATTTATATCATTTTTTGAGTCATACCATATACTTGCTACTGGCTAGGGTAGAACAAACTGGCCTTGGACTGCAGCAGTCCTTGCCGGTGTCCTGGGAATTCTGGGATTCCTGGCAAGCAGGGCTGGTTGGGCTCCGTGTGTCCTTGTGCAGATCCGGGAGTATGAGCAGGTCATCATTGAGGACAGGCTGGAAAAGGAGAAGACCAGGAAGAAGCTGGCGCAGGACGACCTGGAGCTGACGAGCATCGTGAAGGTAGGATGCGCTGGCAGTTGGTGGGGATGGCAGGCTCACTGCAGCTGTAGCACAGTGGGCGCACATACACTTCACGGTGCTGAGACAGAAAAGAGCACACCTGGCTCCCCATCTGGGGAGATCAATGGAAGCAAAGCCTCTTTCCAGCCATAACAATCTGAGGAGGGGACTCAGCTATAGGAAGGATGCTCCAGAATGCTGTGCCCTGCTCCACACCCTGGCTGTCCAATACAAGTTGCTTTAAAACAAACAAACAAAAACCCAAAAGGTAAACGGAACAATACAAATTAGAAAAAACATATTTAAAATGTCTTTTAGCTTAGTATTTTTGAGACAGCGTCTTTTGTAGCCCTGACCAACTGGGACTATGTATGTGGCCTGCGGTGCTCCTTCTCCCTCCGCCTCCTGAGCACTGGACATGGTAGATGTGAAGACTCAAGCCTGGCCGAGACAGCAAATGTCTCATAAAAGTTCTATGTGAACTTGCAATTAGCAATGACAACATGATCAGGTCCAGATTCTGGAAAACAGTCTTAAGATTAATTTTTACTTTGAAGTATGTAAATGTCTGTATTTGGGTATGTGCACATGATTGCCCGGGGGCATCAGATTCCTTGGAGCTGGAGTTACAGGAGGTTACGAATTTCCAGATGTGGGTATTGGGAAACTAACTCATAATCTGCAAGAGCAGTAAAGCTCTTAACTGCTGGGCCATCTCTTCAGCCCCTGGAAAAATGTTTAAAGCTAAAACTGTAATGCAAAGATGGTTTGAAAAACGTTGCTTGGAAGTGCATCCTTCAGGGGTCCTGAGGGGAATGAACCTGAGATGTAGAGTAAGGAGCAAGCTCTGCTTGTAGCTCAGGCTGGCTGTGAACCTCACTGCTCGAGTGCTGAGACTACAGGTGTGCACCACCACAGAGGGCTGTATTCTTTTCCGTCTGTGGTACTGGGTGCAGGTAAGAGACAGTCATTCTCTTTCCAGCCAATGGCTGCGAGGTGGGCTGCGTTACCAAAGGTGCCAACACGGCCTAGCACACTGCATTTCCGCTTAGCCAGGAGCAACAAGGTAGCCATAGTGACATCAGCTTGGCCACTGCCATGCCTCAGAGATGTCCTTAAACACGTGTGGCTGTGGTTCTCTGTGGAGAAGGATCACAGTGCTGCTGGGCTCACTGAGATGAACTGCCTTCTTTCCTTCAGCTCCAGGCCTGGTGGCGAGGAACAGTGGTCCGGAAGGAAATTGGCGGTTTCAGAATGCCCAGGAAAGAGAAAGATGACAGCAAAGATTCCAAAGGCAAGGAGAAGGAAAAACGGAGAGGCAAGAAGTGACGAGTACCTGCTGTTCTTTTCCTCTGGTCTCCAGGGACACACCGATGCCGTCACAACACTCACCTGTGGCTTGCCATCCAGGACACCTACAGAGTTCACTAGGCCCATTACCCTTGTTTTCAAACCCAGAATGGGGGTTAGAACTTGGCGGTAGGGCCTCTTCAGACTGTGCACTTTGGGGAAAGAAGTGTGGAGCAGCTTTGTGAACATTCTTTCTCATGAGAAAACAGTTCATAGGCTTTAGCGATACAATAAAAAGTCCGGTGTAATATTTTCTTTTGATTTTATGCCAATATCCAGGGAGAATTATCAAGGTTATCTGCTAGCAAAATATGTCTGCACACGGTAGTTAATAAACTTTGGTTTGTTAAACTTATAAACTTTGCCTGTCTCACTGTTACCAGCACTGGGGGACGGCACCTAATCTGCCTCTTACATAAGCTGCTCTGGCAACCTTTCTGGGGATAGATCGGGGTGGAAGTGGCCAACACAAGAGAGATGGAGTGTGCATCCACAGTCCTCTAGTGGTAGAGATGGCACATGTCCCAGAAAGCTAGACAGTGACACACAACTATGTCCACCATCTGGGAAGACAGGTGGAAACCAGCGTCTGTGGAGTTCAGCAAAGCTGGTGGAAACCGGCCCGTGTGGTGTTTTCACTTCTCCCTTAAAACCAGTGAGCCCACTGGCTCATTCTTGCTTTGGCCATCAGTAAGGAATGTCTTGGAAGGCTGGAGCCTTCAGGACAGCACAGCTGTCTCCACTGCACCTCTGCTTCCGTCTGTGTCTGTGTGCATGATGCGTGCCGGTGCACATGCAGAGTTCAGAGGTCAACTCTGTGGACTCTTCTCCTCCTTTTTGTGGGTTCTCAGGCTCAAATTCAGGTTGCCAGGATCATCTTGGAACTTGCTGTGAAACCAGGCTGGCCTTGAATTTAAAGATCTGCTTTCAGAGCTGGAGAGGTGGCTCAGCGGTTAAGAGAACTGACTCTTCTTCCCGAGGACCCGGGTTCAATTCCCAGCACCCACATGACAGCTCACAACTGTCTGAAGATCCAGTTCCAGGGGATCTGACACCTTCACACCAATGCACATAAAATAAAGTTAAATAAACCATAAAAAAACAATTTAAAAAAAAATTAAAAAAAAAAAAATTTAAAAAAAAATAAAGATCTGCTTTCCTCTGCCATCCTGTGTGCTGGGATCAAAGAAATGCATCACTGTGCCAAGCTTGTTTCTTTAAAATAAGTTGTTTTTTTTTTTTTTAAAAAAAATTAGTGTAGGGGCTGGAGAGATGGCTCAGAGGTTAAGAGCACTGGCTGCTCTTCCAGAGGTCCTGAGTTCAATTCCCAGCAACCACATGGTGGTTCACAGCCATCTATAATGGGATCTGGTGCCCTCTTCTGGCATAGAGGCATACACGCAAGTGGAACACTATACTAAATAAATAAAATCTTAAAAAAAATAGTGCGTGCACGCAAACATGCATGCATGTGCATGCCATAACGCACGTGTGCGGGTTAGAGGAGGATAGCTTTCAAGAACTGTCTCCTATTTCTCTTCTGGGTCCTGGAGATTAAACTCAAGTCACTGGGCTTGGCAGCAAGCCCCTTTACCTGTTAAGCCATTTCACTGGCCCCTAACTGGTTATTTCTTAGAGGAAAGTTATATTAATGTATCTTACTCTTTTCATGAATTAAGGCCTTTTTAACTTTTGGAGACTTCATGTAGCCCAAGTTGGTTTCAAACTCACTATGTAGTCTGGGCTGGCTTTGAACCTCCTACATTATAGGAGTGAGTGACCATACCTGCTTTATGCAGTGGGAATGGAACCCAGGACGTGATGCATGCTAGTAGGCACAGTACTGACTGCACTATAGCTCCAGCCTGAATTGAGCCGTCCAGTCCTGCTGCCATCGCAGGCCACCTCATTGCCTGTGCCTCCTTGAGAGGTGAGTGCTAACCTCAGAGGCTGGTTTAACAAGTTGTCCCTTTGTGAGCCAGATTTGTCTTTGCTAAGGAAGACAAGTTTTAGGCTTGAACATCTGCAAGTGTTCATTACATGCTATGGTAGTATTGGCTTTTATTTTAATGTCCACATATAAGATGGCATACAGGCAACTTAAAATAACATACACAGTATCAACATATTTATACTTAGAACTTACACAATATATTTACAGACATACAAATATAGGACAATGTTTACAAAACCTTTTACTAATTACATGTAACATTTCAGAAGTCAAATCTGCTGTAACCGTCTCGCTGCACTGTGTATATACAAGGCTTCTAAAGGAGCAGGTTTTCCTTCATTTCACAACCATCCAAGTCCTCAGTCCTTCACACTCATCAGCACGGCGCACCATCGGCCACTGCTGACTGGAGGGAGGCGGATTACAGACCCTTGATAGCTGCAAGGGTACTTAGAGAGCAGCTGGGAAACACCCACCGCTCTGCCCTTTCTAGTCTCTTCATCCCTCTAGCGAGTGCCTCAGACCTGCTCATTACAGGAGGAGCCTGGTCCGAGGGCTAGGCAGAGACGCCTCTGCAAGTCTGGAGACCGCTGACATGACATCTCCGTAGGTGGCGGGGCAGGGCCAGGCAGGCACTTGGTTTGTTCACCGTCAGCACTGGTAGGACAGCCATTTCCGGTCAGTGGACTATGATAAGACTAACTTTATCTTACACTGGGGTCTTTAGCAAGGTTAACTATAAAAATGTATTGTTCTCTCCAATTTAGAAACATATATATGAAGCCACAAAAGACCAATGGAAAACCCGGTTTGTTATATGCTGACTCAGAACTTTAACAACCACAGCTAAAACTGTGCAAATGCTTCCTAATGATTAAATCTGAATTAACTTGGTAAGTACAGTAAGGCCTCACATGAAAAACTGAAATATTAATGTGTCCTCTTTCTTCTGAGGTAGGGGCTCACTGGGTAGAGGAGCTCTGCCCCCTGTCTCTCAAAGGCTGGGTAAAAAGGCATGAGCCTCCACGCTCTGCAATATCAGCCTACTCTCTGGAACTCTCAGAGCTGCTCCAAGTGTTGTATTATGTAATGTCTTCTGGACTCGTTTCTAAACAACATCAAAAGCTACAAGTTAGAAATGGTGCTGAGGTTTCATGCTGACTAGAAGGAAGCATAGCTAGAGCCCAGAAGCACAGCTGCTGGTGGACAAGCCCCTGAAGGGCTGGCCAGGAGCCCAGGTGCTCTATGTTATACTTACTGTCTCTTGAGATAAGGTCTTGCAGCGTAGCCAAGACTGGCCCTAAATCCATAATGCTCCTGCCCTAGTCTCCTGAGTTGCAGGAATGTGCCACCATACCTGGCTGCTGGTACATGCTTTTAAACTTGGATAACGTGGCAATGTTCTAATAAACACTTCTCTGCATGAACAAGGAGAAATTATTTTGATTACTCAAAATGATTTTGTTCAAAGTCACTTTTAGAGGAAGGATTTTTTTTTTAGGGAAAGGATACTTTTAAATATTTTTACATGTATGAATATTTTACCTTCATGTATGTATGTGTACCATGTACATGCCTGGTACCCGAGGAAGTCATCGCAGGGTGCTGGGAACTGAACCCTGACTCTCTGCAAGAGGAGGAAGTGTTCTCAGCTGCTGAGGAAGCGCTTCAGCCAGTCTAATGTAGCCCAGGTGGCCTGTAGCTGCCTAGCATCTGGCCAAATCCTGACCACCCAGCTCCCACTTCTGGAATTACAGGCTCCTGTGCCTCTCTGCACCTTACTCCGGTAGTGCTGGGGATGGAACATGGTCCAGTATCGAAGATATTACCTTTGGATGCTGCACAGGGTAAATACTGTTCTCAAATGCAAGCCTTGGGAAGACTGCAGGGGCTACCCTAAGAAACAGCTTTTATGTAATTACTCTACTGGCCACAGCAAAGACACAACAACTAACAAGTGTGCAAAACCCAGGGGAAGAAACGCCTGTGTACTTAGGTTTACACGAAGACGCCTACTTTGTGCTAGAGCCCTAGGTCCTTCTGTTGTCTGCTCACAGCAAAGGAGTAAGGCACAGGCAGTGGACGGGGGAGGGGGTAGATGAGAGACAGGAAGCTGCTCGAGTGCTTTCTTAAAGCTAAGGAAGCTGGCTGTCACCTGCAAGGACTCTAAGAAGTGTGGCTTCCTTCACCTCTTTTGGCGTTGTGTTCGGTGTCCCATGAGCCAGGGAGCTGTTACTGCATCTGCCACGCCTGGTTCAGGTGCCCTGGGATCAGCATGCAGGGTTCACTGAGGCAAATGCAAATACTGTTGAGTAGTGCAGGTTACACTGTACAGCTTAGAACTGTGTGCAGAGTGTCTGTGTTTAGGAAATGGCAGGGTGATGCACAGAACCACCCTCTAGAAAAAGATGGGGTGGGAGTGGGCAGGGCTGTGGAGAGGCCTGGACACTGGTTTTAAATAACTGTTATACAGTGCAAAATCGAGGGCTTCTCTATTATTTTTGTTCTCTTTGACAGAATTGTCCAAGTCATCATAACACAGCCTTTGATTTGAATGCAGTTGAAAAGTGCAGCAGGGTGGTACCCAAACCACATAACTATGTGTCTTGGCACAGTTTCTACTGCCTGAGAGCAACTGCAACGTCTGCTGGAAATGCAGGTTCCCAGGCCACAGCCAAAACCTCTGATGCAAATCTGGATTTCACAAATGCTCCAGGAGAATGAAGCCCAACTGTGGAAACCAGCGAGCAGTAGAACCCGGGGAACTGGAAAGACAGCAGCGTGTCTGTCTTCTGAGAGAGAAATATGCGGCTTCCAAGATCCTGTCTCTGGCATGAAAAATGAGCCTGCTCCCCATGAAGAAAGCAGAGCCAGCTTAGGCTTCCATGTTGAGTCCTCAGTAATCAAAGTTCCACTTAAGAGGATTGTGTCTTCATTAAAAACAAAAAATAGTGGAAATAATTTCCCCTAAAATGGAGAGATGAAGCAAACATTCCTGGCAGGAATCATGAAGACAGGGCTTCTAGGAACGCACAGGGCTGTGTGAGCAGGCGGGGCCAGCAATCGCATCCTCCTGTTCCTTGTTTTGGCTGTGTCAATACCCAGGGCCCTGGGAGTCCTCAGACAGCAGAGAGCTGGGGTGGGGGCTGCTGCTGCTGCTGCTGCTGCTGCTGCTTGGGTGGGGCAAGTTCCAGGAGGGCCTGGACAGTCACGGCAACCTGGCTCAACCCCTTCTCTTCTAAAATGTGCAGAGGCAAACATAACTGCTCCTAAAAGAGGACAACGTAACGAAAAACAAACAGAAAAGAAAACAGGATGAACATCACAGGACTGAAGGGAACTTCTACCCCGCCCCATAATAATCAAGCGAGGTACGGAAAGTTCTTGGTAAACCCACCCTGCTAAAGGAGGCAGCCGCAGATGGTGTCTCACACTCAGGGTCACTTTATTAACACAGTTAAAGGTCCACACGGAAAAGTGGAAGACTGACAGGTGACACACATTTACACGGCGGGAGGAAGCCACACTATCTGACAAAGATCAGGGCCGACTTACAGAGCACATCAAAATAGAAAAACAAGCCGAGTTACAGCATGGCCCACGTGGAAAACAGCATTACAGAGGACACTCTGGGGAGGAAATCACAGACAGAGGGACGCTTCATGATTTTGTGATGACTCTAACTGCAGGAAGGGAGGGCCCAGGACTTGCACCATAGCTCCATTCTGAAAGCCACAACCCTCAGAGTTAAATGGAAGTAAGAAACATTGCTCTACCTCAGGTAATTCATGGTAGGGTAAAGCTGAATTAGTTTTAAAAAAATCAGATTTAAAAAAATTGTGTTTTAGCTGGGTGTGCGAGTTCCTAGGACTTAGGAGGCAGAGCCAGACAGGTCTCTGTGAGTTCAAGGTCAGTCAAGGCTACACTGTGAGATCTTGTCTTAAAAACTGTATTTGAAAACTGGGCAGTGGTGCACACCTGTAATCCCAGCACTTGGGAAGCAGAAGCAGGTGGATATTTATGAGTTCGAGTCCAGTCTGGTCTACAGAGCAAATTTTAGGCCTGCCAAGGGTACACAGAGAAACCTTGCCTTGAAAAACAAAACAAAACCACCAAAAAAAAAAATTGTATTTGAAAAAGTAAAGTATTTCATATTGTAAAATTCAGCAGATTAAATAAAGCCGAGGAACTATTATGTAAGCTTACTCACATCTTGATAACTGATCCATAAAAAGGCCGTTCCTTTGGGTAAGAAGCTGGATACATCTACTTTGTTACTCTTTTTGGTTTTTCGAGACAGGGTTTCTCTGTGGTTTTGGAGCCTGTCCTGGAACTAGCTCTTGTAGACCAGGCTGGTCTCGAACTCACAGAGATCCGCCTGCCTCTGCCTCCCGAGTGCTGGGATTAAAGGCGTGCGCCACCACCGCCCGGCTGGCTTTTCTTTTTCTCATCAAAATTATTATTTTTTAATTTTTTTGAGACAGGGTTTCTCTATGTAGTTCTGGCTGTCTTGGAGCATGCTATGTTGATCAGGCCAGCCTAGAACTCAGAGATCCTTTTGTCTCTACCTCCCAAATGCTGGGATTAAACACGTGTACCACCATGCCTGGGTAAAAATTACTTTTTTGCTTATAGTTGAGAGAAGGTCTTGCTGTGTATAGCTCAGGGTGGCCTCAAACTCAAGTTTGAGGGCTATAGGAGTGCTCCATTGCACTCTGTATCACTCGGAATGTTACAAAATGGATTGCAATAAAAATACAGAAAGAGCTAGTCAGTCACCGTGACACACACCTTTTAAGGGTAGGTCGATCTCTGAGTTTGAGGCCAGCCTATCTACAGATCAAGTTCACAGAACAGCCAGGGCTACACAGAGAAACCTGTCTTAAAAAACTAAAATCAAACCATAACAAGCCAAAACAAAAAAACAACCAACCAAACAATACCAACGAAAAAGATGAAGCCTGTGTGCTGTGGGTGGAGCATCCCTGCCATCTGCTCAGCAGTGCACAGGCCGAGCACAGTGGTTTACTCACCACTCAGAGGTTGGAGCTTACAGACATCAATTTTGTGGACGTTTCCTAGGAACTCACCACTGCCGTCTAGACCGCTCAGCAGCCTCTGCGGTGGTTTTGTCTGTTTTTATTTTAAAGACAGGTCTTGTTATGTAGCCAGCCTAGGCTGCTAAAGGCTGGGACTGCAGGTGTGTATCAGCACACACCCTGTGTGTGTGTGTGTGTGTAAAAGGACAAAACTACAGAATTCAGATAATAATCGTCAATTCTAGGTGTCTTAAAAAGAAGACAAGTCCGCGACACACCCGGGAGGCAGGCACTGCTGTAGAGCACCGAGTCTGTCACTGCATCGTTAGTGAGGACAGTTAGGAACGACCCACTTCAGACAGAAGTACACGAGGGGAGCGGCGGCCCAGGCTGTTCCTGGCCGTCTCCCTTGAGCTGCTGGTCAGTTTTGTTAATGGAGCATGGAGACACCATTGGTGAGAATGCAATCTGAATGCCGCAATGCTGTTCTGGGCCCCACGTCCAGAGACAGATCTACTAAGCATTCTGAGACAGACTGCAGCTTCACTGGACCTGCAGTTCCGATACAATCTTCCCAATAGCCTACAAAATACAAGTTCACCCACAAAAATGACTCAGTCATGCTAGCAGTGACAGGAACTGCAAACGTCACAGTCTAACAGGATTCCTGCAGTAGATCTGTCATAGGCAGCACACGTGCGAGGCATGGCCAGGTCTCAGATGCAGGCTCTGCTCAGTGTTCACTGTGTTAAATGGATACAATGGTTCAGACAGCAATCTGGAGAACCTCTACTATCTTTAAATTAAAAATTCAGGCCAAACTAAAATTATAAAGTTTAAGTGCGCCATGCCTTCTAAATGTCCAAATACTGTTAAAAAAAGGGGGGGGGGGCAAGTTGGGCCTTCCGGGCAGAGAACTAAGTGACAAGGTACTCCAGAGTAGAAAGGACACCAGTAGCATCATGGTAAGCAGCTGGTGAAAGGGCTCAGACATCTGTCACTTCAAGACTGAAGTGTAGCACAGTATAAAAAGAACGGCAGAGTTCTGTGGCTCAGGACTGCATCAGTAAAAATGCCTCAACCCCACCCCCTAATATGAGAAACAAGGCCACAGGGCAGGGGGAAGCAAGTGATGATCTTTCTGTTAGCCATCGTTAGTGCCTACTGTGCAAGGCGCTGCCCCTCTGGACATAAAAGAAACGATGCACCTACTCAGGTTAGCACTCTGAAAAAAACACATGTTTTTTCATGTCAGTAATTCTGTATGAGAAACAAACCTGCACCAAGCACATGAAGGAGGTGGAAGGCACGGGCTGCACTGTCAGCTAGAGGGGAAGACCCGGTAATACAGCACACAGAGAGTTAACATTAAAGCACAGTAAAATGCCACAAAACCCAGAAGCTGGACAGACAGAGAGACAATGCTGGAGTCTTCTGCATGTGCCCCGAGAGAAAGCAGGGTTTCGACAGTTCTTTTAACGCTGAGGTTTAGCTGAAGGATGTCGGAAGGGGAACAGAGATTGTCCTGTCCGAGTGTGAGCAGGAAAGGAAAACAGAAAAACACAGTCAGTGGGTGGAATGCAGACAAGTACAGAACTCAGTATTCATGTCAGGTACGATCAGACACACACCCTGCAGCATCTTAGCTTAGGGAAGGAAATGCTGAGGGACAAAGCTGTGGGCTCATCTGTGTACACAGACTTTTCTACGGAGCAGCAAAATAGAGTGTGCTTGTTGGTGGCTGGCCAAGAGCATTAAGGGACCAATGGACAGAGCTGGCTTGTGGTTCAGGGTGGTGTGAGGCTTGAGAGTAGGAGGGCCTCCTCTCCATTCCCAGTCTTCCTTACTGAGGGATGCTGACCAGAGTAGGGCGGCCACCGAACAGGCAACTGCTGACTCCAAGCCTGAGGCCAGCCTTGTAATGAGGAGGTTCAGTAGGGAAGTCCTGTGTACTGACTTACTCCACCAGATGATGCCCACCATCCCTAGGTGGCTCAGTGCTACACACAACAGAAATGCAGAGCTTCTAAAGTCACCATTGGTAAAGTATTAGTGGATTCAAACTGAAAATAGTCTTTAACATACACAATAATTCTAGAATATAAGATAGTAGATTCAAACACAAGTTTTTAAAAAAATAAAACATTTAATAAAAGCACAAGAGTAAAAGTGACTATTCAGACACTTCCCTTTCCAGAGGCTTCTTTCATAGTCTGAGCGTGAGCTGGGGATGGACCCCGGGTAAGGACTCTACCATTACTATCTTCCCAGGCAATTCTCCGTCATAATTTGACTATCCTTGTCTCTGACTTTCTTTTGTCTGAAACAGAGTTGCATGCTGCCCAGCCTTGTCTCAGACATTACATAGCTGAGGGTGACCCTGCACTCTATACCCTATTCCACCATTTTCCAAGTGAAGGGGAACAGGGGTGCTTTCCCACACTGCCCTCACAGCTCATCCTGAGAAGGGACGATGGTGACACGTATTTTACACCTGGGCACCGAGGCGGACACCCTTAACTACTAAGTTCCCTGTTTTTCAGTCTAGCAAGGGCCAGAAGGAGGCAAGAACAAAGCAGGACTGAGAACACCAGCTTGATGCTACTGATTGGAGAATTTGTTCGTTATCCTTCATTCTGTCCAGAAAAATGACTAATTTTCAAGAGAAATAGCAGCAAAACGAGAACTCATCCAAAACTGGTAGGAAGTGGGTGGAAGGCAGATGGGTCGGAAGAAGTGGTTTGTGTGGATGTCCACTTCCTCTTTCTGGAAAGGAGCTGCAGGTGAGCTGTGGACTCCAGGCTAACCGCCGTGGAAAAGGGTCAGTTTCAAAGTGTACTTTTCTATCTCTCTTTGCCTTCGAATAGCTCAGCTCAGGTAAAAAGGGCAGCTGGGCTGTAATGAACACTCGTAAGCCCTGCTTGGAAAATGCTGACTTACACGCATGCTGTAAAGCACACAGTTTTTCTATTCTGCTGACCAAGGGCAGTAGCTTTCTGAAAGAGTCGCAGGTTCCGATATTTACACCCAAGACAAGACGGCTCTGTAGGGCCTGATAGGCAGCTCTGATGTCCAGAAATGGTGCCGAGGAGGATCTCGGCAAGCACGGGCATGGGCAGAGTCAGCACGCTCCTGCTTTCTGTGCTTCCCATTTTCTGTGCCATGGCACACTCCAGTGCAGTGCACAGGGTATGGACTCGAGCAGGCAGCAGGGATGCTGACATCAGACAGGAAACCTGAGTGCTAATGTGTGCATATGGGCATCAGGACTCTCGCTGTGGAGAAAATACATGCCAGTCCCCTAGAATAGGTGGTAAATGGTAAAATGGTTTCATAAGCTTTTATAAGATGGTATAAAAATGAAAAATTCTAGTTTGAATTTGTCCATAAGAATAAAATATGTCTTACTTGATTTTAGAAAAGAAAAAAAAAAACCGAACCCATAACATAGCAGAAAATAAGAGAAAGATCTACCCAGTAATGCTGAAGAGCAGGTGTGGAACATGCTGGCTAAAGGAGATGCAGGTGGGAACTGGCCTTTTTTTCCCCTACTCTGGAATATGTGAAGCTGGAGTGAAGGATGCTCACTGCATACATGATCAGTTAGAGCAGGACAGTGAACTGGGTGAAAAACCATCACTGGGATAAATGGGGCTTAACTTAGAGCAAAGCTGGCATTTCTGATGAGCCAATCCTGAGTTTCCGACAGTTAATCAAGCAGCTGACAGAAAAGGCTGGTGTTTTCTCTCTGCTGACTAGACAAAACTAAGGCTTAGAGATTGGAGGTGTGGCTCAGTGGCAGAGCATGCAGGAGGCCGCAGCTTCCATCTTGAGCAAGAAAGAAAAGAGAAACTGCCAACCACACCACAGCAAGCTGCTAATTTCTTTACACTGTTGCTAAGCACAGTGTATACCACAATTCCAGCACTGGAGGCTGAGGCAGAAGGGAGGTCTGAGCCCCAGGGCTCTAAGACCATTCTGAGTGTAAACTTAGGTCAAAAAGCCTATATCCACATCATCCAACTCCATGCAGCCCTCAAGAGCAAAGCAGTTTTTAACTACTCTTCAAAAGGCAGAGGCAGGCAGATCTCTGCGAGTCTGAGGCCAGCCTGGTCTACAAGAGCTAGTGCCAGGACAGCTAGGACTGTTACACAGAGAAAACTGCAAAAAATAAACAAACAAACAAAAAAAAACCCTCAAAACCAAAACAAAAGGGGGGTGTCACTGAACACTAAAAACATTTCTTATTAAATCTATCAAGTTTAATGATGGTACTATCAATGGCAAGAACTACAATAGACCAGTGTTTTCAACCTTCCTAGTGCTGTGATCCTTTAATAGTTTCTCATGCTGTTGTGACCCCAACCATAAAATTATTTTCATTGCTACTTCATGACTGTAATATGCTAGTGTTATGAATCATAATGTAATATCTGTGTTTTCCATGGTCGTAGGTGGCCCCTGTGAAAGGGTTGCTCAACCCCCAAAGTGGTCTCGACCCGCAGGTTGAGAAACACTGCCATAGAGGCGCAAGCTCACAGGTGGTCGTCACTGTGCTAACGGCCAAAGGATTGCAGCCTGGTGGAAGAATGGGTGGAAGCTGAGCTAAATCTTTAACTTAGTTAACAGGACTATCGTTTGGATCACTCAGTTTGTACAGCTATACTATTTGCATATTTGATGCTAGCATCTGGGAAATTTGGGTGAAAAATACATAAGAACTCTGCTATTTTTGTAACATTTTGTGAAGTCTTAAAATTATTTAATGAATACATATATTTAAGATGTATTAAAATCAAGTATTAAAAAACTGAAGCCAACAAAAGAATTCCAATCTGAATGATACTTGTGTGAAAATATTCTGTTATGTGTAGCTATACATAGGTCAAACAGCTAGTGGGGATGCTTAAGAAAATAAAACAATTATTTTCAATTTATTAGTTATAATACAATTATTTAAATCAATATTTAACAGTCTCTTTAAAGATCCTTGGAAATGAGGAAACATGAAAGAATACTGCTGGAGAGAAGACTGACAGAGCTCTGTAACGACACACTATGTTAGCAGTGATGAGCTTAGTCCACAGCTAGTCCTGGTAAGAGCAATCACACACACGCACACACACGCACGCACGCACGCACGCACGCACGCACACACACGTTACCTGGGGTACACCGATTTTTCTGCAAGCTTCCAGGAAGTTCTCCACATTTCGCCTGCATTTTGCCATTGTTAATTTAGGCTGCAGAGAGACAACAAAGGGGGGAAACAGTGTTATCAACAAAGGTCAAAAAGCACACAGCTTTAAAACCACTCTTGTTGGTTGTCATAAACTTACTGCTGCACACGCTGGGGCTCAGCAAACTTTCCCCTAAAAGATCAGATACTGATGCTAATCTCAGGAGCCACGGAGCTGCCGTCACTGTTCAGCTCTGCCAGCATGAAAGCAGCCACAGGAGATGAGGAGTGTGGCTGCAGCCAATAAAACACTACTGACAGAAACCAGTGCTGGCCTCCTCATATAAATGTTTTGTCTGCATGTTTATCTATAGATTATGCAATGACTGCAGAATCCAGAAGAAGGTGTTGAATCTTTGGGAATGGAGTTATAGACAGGTGTAAGCTGCCATGTGGGTGTTGGGAATTGAACTTGGTCCCTTGCAAGAACAGCCAGTGCTTTTTATTTATTTAATTTTATTTTATTTTGGTTTTTTGAGACAGAGTTTCTCTGTAGCTTTGGAGCCTGTCCTGGAACTCACTCTATAGACCAGGCTGACCTCAAACTCACAGAGATCTGCCTGTTTCTGCCTCCCGAGTGCTGAGATTAAAGGTGTGCACTGCCACCACCACCCAGCTTCAGCCAGTACTCAACCCCAGTCCTATCTTTTTTTTTTTTTTTCTGAGACAGGGTTTCTCTGTAGCTTTGGTGCCTGTCCTGGAACTAGCTCTTGTAGACCAGGCTGGCCTCAAACTCCCAGAGATCCGCCTGCCTCTGCCTCCCGAGTGCTGGGATTAAAGGTGTGCGCCACCACCGTCCGGCTCCCAGTCCTATCTTTTACATTTAACAGATTAGACACCTGGGAAATTAAAGTCTTAACGATGGCTACAAAGCTACATTAAAAAGGTAAATGGTTAATGCTGGAAATTTCATTAATTACTAATAAATGAGCTTAATTTTCTGTAAAGATCTCTAAAGACTGAAAATAAAGTGGCATTCCATATCCTCTCAAGGTTTTGTTTTTAACCTAGTTATTATGGAACACAATGTAAGAAAAATAGGATTTCATATTCTAAAGTTAAGTTCAAGTACTACATATGGAAGCCAGATGCTTGCAGGGACTATGACCTACAGATTTTTAAATTAGTAAATTCATGGACACCTGTACCATCTCTAGAAAACAAAAGACTTAACTTGTAAAACCCGAGTTTTCTCAAACAGACAACACAATTCCTTGGCATAAGAAGAAACAAAATAAAAGCAGTGAAAGGAAGTATTTTAATTTTGACCAGCCAGAGATATTCAGGGCTAGGATTAACTTTGTCATGGAAGATGATAAGAAGACAACCAGTGAGATGCACAGAAAGAAACAAATCTCCCAGTTGGGATGGAATGACAGGACTCCAGGGTACGAGGCGGGGCCTGGCCTGGTTGGCTCCCTATGGCTGCAGACACACCACAACCACAAGTATCCTGGGGAGGAAAGGGTCTGCTCAGTTTACAGTTTACAGCCCATCACCAGGGGAATCCAAACAGGAACTCGAGGAGGATGGGAACCTGGAATCGGGGCAGAAACAGAGACCATGAAAGAATTGTTTACCCTGGCTTGCTCGCTGTCTCACACAGCCCTCAACCACCTGCCCAGGAACAGCACTGTCCCCAGCAGGCTGGGCCCTTACATCAATCATTAATCAAATGGAGCTCAGACTCGCCTACAGGCCAATGTGGTAGAGGTATTTTCTCAACTGAGGTTCCTCTTCCCAGATGACACTGAGTTGTGTCAGCACACAGAAAGACAAACCAGTGCAGCTCCCTTTCTTGCCAATGCCAAATTCTTAAATGAAGCAAAAAGGTTGGTAGAGGGGGAGAGGGGAGATGAAACATAAACTGTGGAGTCATGATCTCCTGACAGATGGCGCACAACAAAGGCCTGGGCTCCGCTGCTGCTGCTTATGCCAGAAACATAAAGGAGGCGTGCACAGCACAGTGCTGGGGCCGCCTCAGCTCCAGAGAAAGGTGAGCTGGACTGAGAGGCCAGGGAAATTTGCTAGGAGGAGGAGCTCCTTGGTAAAGACCCAATTTTCACAGCAACTCTGCAAATAAAGGACATGCATGGTACAGGCAGGGAGTTCAGAGCCAGCCTTGGCTAAATGAGACAAAAACGAGCTGGGTATGGTGGCACACATTTTTTTATCTCAGCACTCAAGAGGGGGAGGCAGTGGATTTCTGTGAGTTTGCAGCCAGATTGGTCTACATAACTACACAGTGAGACCCTGTCTCAAAAAAACCAAACTCCCAACTCCAACAGGACAAACTGCTTGCCTTTGGCACACCCGTCTAGGCTAGAAATTCTCTCCACATGGCAGTGGCTCTTTGTCTCACGGTGCTGGAAGCAAAGGTACAAGTGCCATTAGCATCTTTTCTTGTGAAGTGGTCGGGACTGGTCAGGACCCGGGTCTGAGTTCAGGAGAGAAGGCCAATAAGCAGGAGAATAGCCATAAGCACTGTTTTACAAAAGAAGGAAACTTAAATTTCTGAAATGTTTACAGAAGGACAGACTGACATAATCTTGTTATAGAAGAAAAAAAAGTGTTTCTGTGCAAAAGCAAGGATAAAAAGTTAATGCTGCTAATTAAAAACTGGCTCAAACACAATTTCCTATAGCTCATATGAAAATGAAGGACTGAGGGAAGGAGACATATGGGAGGACGGGAGAGGGGAGAGAGAGAGAGAGGGAGAGAGAGAGAGAGCACTCAGTACACATCCCTCCTCTGGAAATGCCAATGGAAAGGCTCATCCATCAGTGGGATGCAGGCTGCAGCCTCTCCATCCTCACTCCAGACTGCAGGACTCAGTCTACTCTTAAGAAGCAAATCTTACAGAGGTCATGTTCCCCTCTCCCGGGCAGATGCAATCGATAAAGCTCCGACCCAGGATGGACGTAGGCTAGAATCTTCCCGGTAAGCGCACCTTGGGGTGCTACACACATTATTAGAAATGGGCTAGTCCAGGTGCGAGAGTTAGCCAAGAAGAGGCTAGATATAATGGGCCAAGCAGTGTTTAAGTGAATACAATTTGTGTGTTGTTATTTCGGGTAAAGCTAGCCTGTGGCTGGAGCTGGGTGGCGGAATGCAACCCGCAGCTCCCTCAACAGAATGGCACCCAGACGTGTGGACAACTGAATATTGTAATATTGTAAATACTGGACTCAGGAACTTTCGTTAGGAGAAAATTACATTCGAAACTTATAAGTACTCTCAATTTTCTCCTACCGAAAGTTCCTGAGTCCAGTATTTACAATATTTCACCTTGGAAATGTTCTATTTAACAGTTGGGTCATGCACATCTGGTGTAGGAACTTTTTTCTACCATAAGTGACACCAATAAATGTTATTTTAAAAAAAAGAAAAAAAGAAGCAAATCTTACAGGAACCCACTACCTCCAAAGTTTTCCCAGAACTTCAAATGTCACGACATGATTTTTGGCAGCAGTCTGCCTCTTTTATTTCTGTAATGTAGTCTACACTGAATATGAGATTCGAACTGAAAAGAACACGAGAATAAATACTTAGTTCTGAATGTTTAAAATGATTCAAACACTTTTTCAGGCATCGAAAACCTTATTTTTAAGGCAGGCTCTGATGTAGCATAGGCTGACTTCAAATCTGCTGTGTAGACCAGGATGGCTGTGAGTGCCTGATCTTCCTGCCTCTAATTCCTAAGTGCTTGGATTACAGGTACGACTCACCAGGCCCAGCTTAAAACTTTTAATGTAACGTTTATTATTATTGTGTGTATAATCACACAGTGTACGGGGCATGTGTGCTGCAGCCCTCAGGGAGGTCAGAGGACAACTCTTTAGAGTTGGTTCATTTCTTCCCCTTTAATGTCTAGAAGCCAGGCTCGTGTGGCAAGCTCATGTCACCAGCCCAAAACTTGATATTTGTTTTTGCTTTTTAGACAGGGTCTCACTATACAGCTCTGGCTGGCCTGAACTGACTAAGCTGGCCTTGAATTCACAAAGATTTACCTGCCTCTGCCTCCCAAGTGCTAGGATTAAAGGTGTACACTACCAGACTTGGCTCAAGAGTTTTATTTTTAAAGTTTGTTTTCATTAAACATTTCATTTCAAGTATGGGATCAGAATGATAGGCTTGGTTTACAGTACCCATATGATAGCTCACAGGCACCAGGTGATCTGACACCTCCTTCTAGATTCTGCTGGAAAAGCAGTCATACGTACAGACCCATATTCAGAAATATACATATACATAATTTAAAAAAATAAAACAAATCCTAGAAAAAGGAAGATGATTAAAAATGTAAAAAGATAATGTCCATAGGCCCTGATCCAAATGTTAAGGGTTAGCAAGGCTGAGTAACTGTCTGAGCATACAGTTCAAAAGAGGATAACCCTGGCCAGACCCCCTGATTTCCCACTTTACGCAATGGCAGACTTCTTTCCTACGGCCTTGTGCCAGGTTTTGTTTTTAAACGTCTTTTAGATTTATTTTATGTGTTTGAGTGTTTTGCTTATATGTGTACTACTTGTGTGCTTGGTGCCTACAGAAGTCAGAAGAAGACATCAGGGCCCCTGGAACTGGAGTTATGGATGGTTGTGAAGCACCATGTGGGTGCTGGGAATCCAACCCAGGTCCTTTGCAAGAACAGAGTGCTCATAGCCTCTTGAGCCATTCTCCAGGCCCCGTACCACTGCTTTCCAAAGGTGACTAAATTGTCTTCAAACAGCATGATACTGGGATAAAACTTGATATTTAAAATGTCTGATCAAGTTCATATGGGATTGGGCTTTCAAGGAGAATGCTTCTTAGTGATGTATTTCCTGATTCCACAAGAGGTAAGGCAGTAAATGAACTCAAGAAGTCTGGCAGTATTCTGCCAAGACAGCAGCCAGTCAGTAGGCACCAATGGTAAGCCTGGCTGTGGCCTGGAGCCAGGGGCAAGGTAAACAAACAGGAAAGGATAAAGGGCCCTTTCTGTACGATTCATCTCCACCACACCAGGCTGCAAACCAGGCTGTAAGGCTTGGTGGCAAGAACCTTTACTTGCTGAGCCATCTTGATAACCTTCCCTAATAAAGTTCTAACAGTGTGCTTCATGCTGCTATGCCTGTTGAACAAAAAACAAGCATTTTTAATTTTTCTCCACTATTGACACTAATATAAACTTCTAGCTCCTTGACATATTTTAAAGCCTCTAAAACACAGCCTAGGCTTACCTCTCAGGTCATTTGTACCCACACACTGCCCTGTGTGTGATCTATTCTCAACAACTTCACAGTTCCTTTATTTAAGTTGCTAGCTGGTCAATTCTTACCTATATTTCGTAACTGGATTAGTTCAACTTCTCTAGAAGGCTTCTAATTCTCTAGGCAGAGTTAACCAGTCCCCTTTTGGTATCTCAATAGCATACTTCCTACACACCTCTTACAATACTCAATACACGCTGTAAATGATTGTTTATGTATCTGCCTTTGCTGTAGTTCAAAGTGAGACTGAGAAAGTGGAGGCGGAGCCCTTGGTATCTGCACCGCTAGCTTCCAGTACGATGATTCCACTGCATTGAAAAGCGTCCTATGAATAGCCAGGGCTGCCTGGCACTACAACTTACCACGGCTGGAGATGGGACATGAATGCTTGGGACAGATCGAGGCCGAACATGATTGGCCAAGTGGCAAAGTACAACACCATCAGTCAGAGCTGCTCCAAGATCACAGGGCAGAGATACTTTTAATCGGTACTCAATATGCTGCAAGGACAGGAAATGTCATGCATTAATTGGAGAGTGATTACCATATAGGATATAAAAGCAAGACAATGAAATGTATCAGGTTAGAAATTCAGAAAAAAAAATTGGACACCATGACATATGCCCATAATCCCAGCACTTAGGATGCCAGGGGAGCAGAAGGACTGTAGCAAGTTGGAGGCCGGGGTGGGGGTGGGGAGGGGGTGGTGGTGGAGAAAAGACAGTGAGTTCCAGGCTGGCCAGGGTCACAAGGTAACAACTTATCTCAAAACAAAAACAAAAATAACAACAAAGTCAGAACAAAACAGAATCCAGAAAACAAGGAAATAACTTAGGTTCTCTAGTTCCTGTTTTCCTTCTAACTCAGGTCAGTAACTTACAGAGACAGAGAGGAGCATACGCGTCGTAGCCAGGTCACAGTGGTATAAAGCATGAAAGAAATGACTATCATTTAATAACCTAGGAAACCGCTAAGTCCTGGCATGGTGGTGTGTGCCTGTGATTGCAGATTAGAGAGGCACAGGGAGGAGGACTAAGAGATCAAGGCCACCCTGAGTGATACAGAGACAACTTGTCTCAACAAACAAAAACATGAAACCAAATGGATCCTTGTTCAATTCCAATCCCTCAGCATGTACACGGGCTTTGAGAATGTGCACATGCACATGAATTCTCTCTCTTTTAAGAAAGGGTCTCGCTACGTAGCACAGTCTGGATCTCTAGCTGGTGATCCTGGAACCTCAGATTACTGATGGCTACACGTGTGGACGGACCCCCATGGCTCTTATGCATTCTAATTACTTCTCTGAGACTGCCTTTTAACATGATGGGAAACAGAAACGGGGGAAAATGAAAATGAACATGGCGATAAAGTGAGCTTTTAAAATTAAAATTATTCATCTAATTTTCTCAATAAAAAGTTTAAGGAATTTTCCTCGATAATGAAATTCTTTCACATTCATTACAAAATACAGCATACAAGGGACACGACTGACTTTATGGTAATGCATAGAAGTGAGCCTGTGAACAAAAGGATATGGACTATAGACACGCCCACTGCCAAAGGGCCATTCAGAGGTAATGCACACACCCTGCGCAGCTGGTCTATTAATTTCAGCTCCTCTTCTCTCTGTCTTGTTACAGGATCTGCAGGGTCAGGTGCAGAGGACAGAAGGGGTGACGCACGCCCTGGAAAACAAGTCAGATGAAGAGGTCAGTTGCCAGCGCTACATTTGTCTGGCAAGTTTCTTTGCCAATACAGCGTTTACTACTTTCTGGTTGACATTTTAAAAGTATTATCATTTGGGGCTGGAGAGATGGCTCAGAGGTTAAGAGACTTGATCTTGTAGAAAGGGTCCAGTTTCACTCCCAGCACCCACGTTGTGGCTCACAAGCACTTGGAACTCCAGTTCCAGGAGATTCAGTGTCTAATTCTGACCTCCTCGAACATGTGGTGGGCACACACACAGGCACATAAAAGTAAAATAATACATTTTTAAAAGAGAATTATTCTTATAAGAAAGAAAACATTTACTGAGTAAATCAAAAGGGGTAGTGGGCAGGCTGGTAGCTGTGGTGGTTTGAAAGAAAATGACCCCCTTAGGGAGTGGCACTTTTGGGAGGTGTGGCCTTGTTGGAGGAAGTCTGTCGCTATGGAGTGGGCTTTGAGGTCCCCTATGCTCAAGCTACTCCCAGTGTCACAGTCTACTTCCTGTCACCTGCATATCAAATATAGCAGCTCCTTCTTCAGCAACACGTCTACCATGCTCCCAACCATGACGATAATGGATCAAATCTCTACAACTGTAAACCAGCCCTCAGTAAAATGTTTTCTTTTATAAGAGTTGCTGTGGTCATGGTATCTTTTGACAGCAATAGAAACCCTAACTAAGATAATAGCTAAAGTACCACTGTGGTTAGAAATTTCAAATATATAAATATAATGGCATTTTTCTTGAATTACATCCACTTATAAATGTTTTTATTGAAAAATACAATATATATGTTAAATTACAAGGTTCTAAATAGAGGCCAATAAATGATCCTCTCAAAACGAAATGGCTAGGTGCAGTAAGTGAGATTTGCCCATACTTCAAAGCCTCTTGCATGTTTTCTGCCCATCAGAGCTCAAAGGGTACCAGTAGCCTCACTTCAAGGATCATAAATTTACTTTGTCCATTTTTAAGAACTTTCTATAAATTAAACCACGTTGTATGTATTCTTTGCATATGGCTTCTTTTGACCAACACTAAAGATATCTATCAGTACCATACATTTCAGATATATCAGTACTGTTGTATGTATCATTTTCATTACTTGTATGACATTTTATCATACAGATGGCACCAGTGTTCATCACTATTCTCCTTGTGAACATTCAGTTTGGCACCATTATAAATAATGTTGCTATGAATGTTTTTGTATCTACTTTTTGTTTTACACGTTATTATTTCTCAAAGTAAAACTGCTGATAATAGGTATATAATTGTTCAATAGTTTGTCAATATGGAAAGATCTGAGAAAGAGTTCATAATAAGGGAAGAATGTTCTTTTAACAGAAAGAGCATTTTATTTGTTCAATCTGTTTTTGGTTTTGGCTTTTGAGATTGGACTTTAAAATGTAGTCTGGGCTAGCCTTAAAATCAATTCTGCCTCAGCCTCCTAAATGCAGGATTATAGGTATGCACCATCATGCATAGTTGAAACACTATATTTTAAATGGTACCAAGGAAATTTCTAATCCAAACAAAAACCCAAGATGCCTCATGTTAGTGAGTTATAGACCCCTGCTGAGATGAGAGCTAGGTGTGCTGTTGAAAGCATGTAAGAGTTCACGTCATTGTGCAAAGCCACTCCCCACTCTGCCATGCACTTAAAATTGCTACCACTCACCTTTATTGGTTTCTGCCCTAACGGCAGCTCGGAAAAGGAAGCTTTCAGGGCGCTGGGGCTGATTTCTCTGGGTAGCAGCAGGAAAAGAATATGCAGGGGAATGATGGACTATATCAGCATGGAAAAGCAAGATGATGTTAAAGGAGATGGGAAGCAACTCAAAGATGATATAAACAAATGTCAAAAAGTCCGATAAATAGCACAAAAGGAAAATTAAATCAAACATGGCAATGATATAAAATGATGATTCTATTCATTAGTGAAAAACTCATGTATAAAGTAAAGCTGCTTATTTATTTTAAAAATTCTGTAATTTTTAGTATATCAACAAATGGAGGCTAAAAGTTAATACACCGAACTTAGTTTCTTGCAAACATAGAGCCCTGCTAATTCCTATTCATTTTCCTTACCAAGTGGCCAACTAGTAAAATCAGAAATCCTGGTAAAGAGGCCTGTGACTCAGTTGGTAGAGTGCTTGATGCACATTCATAAAGCCCTGGGGTTGACCAGTCTGCTTTCCAACACTATGGAAACCAGACAGGGTGGCACAGCCAATGCTCTGGGGCTGGAGGTAGAACAGGAGAATCAGAGGACTCAGTATCTTTACACCAGGTGGCAGGCCAGCCTGGGTCACAGGAGATGCTCATCTCTGTCTCTCTCTCTCTCTCTCTGTCTCTCTCTCTCTCTCTCTCTCTCTCTCTCTCTCTCTCTCACACACACACACACACACACACACACAAACCGCAACCCTGGTAAAGAATAACTGTGGTGAGCCTGATAACAGGTACCTTTGTAATCCCAAAATTTGGGAGATGAGGCAGGAGAACCATTAGTTCTTGCTAGCCTGACAACTCTGTTCCCGCTCCCCGCCCCCGAAAAAAAATTAGCCACAGCACTTTCGTGTCTATTACCTGTCTCTGTCGTAGGAAAGCTTGAGGTGACATTGACTCTGTCGTCACTCTGTGAAGAAACAGACCATATCAACAGTTACTACCCAAAAAAGGGCAGTTTCCACATTCTAGTAACTTAGGGAATATATGAAAGCCATGCCAACTTCCCTTCAAAACTAAGTCTAGAAATGAAAGTTTGGTAAAATTGATTTTCTACTTTTTCTTAAAAAGATAAATTGTTTGCTTAGTTGTGTTTATGTAATGCATCCTCTAAAGATATAACTGACATCTCCAAAACTGTGGGAAAGGATCAACCTAAGGCATAAACAGTTATTAAGAAATGTAAAAAGAGAAACCTTACTTTTTTTTTATTAGATTATTTTTAATTTATTTTACATCCCAACTGCAGTTTTCCCTCCCTCCTTTCCACCCCTCCCCCATCCCCCAGTCCTTAGTTTCCATTCAGAAAGCAATAGGCCGCCCCCTCAAAGCATGGCACATCAAGATGAGGCAGGACCAAGTTTCTCCGCTTGCATCAAGGCTGGGTGAAGCAACCCAGGATGAGGAATGGGTTCCTAAAAGCTAGTTCAAGCACCAGGGACAGGTCCTGATTCTACTGCTAGGAGTCCCACAAACAGACCAAGTGATATAACTGTCACACACATACAGAAGGTCTAGGTCTGTTCTATGCATTGGTCTGTGAGGTCCCATGAGCTTAGTTCAGCTGTCTCTGTGGGTTTCCCTATCATGACCTTGACCCCCCCATCCCCCCCAGGACACACAATCCTTCCTCTCATACAAGGTTTTACAGTGTCATGACTTTGACCCCCCTGGCTCAAACAATCCTTCCAGGAGTCTTCAACAGGACTCCCAGAGCTTGGCCCGTGTTTGGCTGTGAAACTTTGAATCTGCTTCCTTCAGCTACTGGATGAAGACTCTGATGACCATTAGGATAGTCACCAATCTGATTAGAGGAGAAGGCCAGTTCAGGCACCTTCTCAACTATAATTAGGAGTCCTTATGGAAACCTTTCATTTTAATATAGTTTCTTTTTTTTTAAATGATTTATTTACCTTATGTACATTGGTGTTTTGCCTGTATGTATGTCTGTGTGAGGGTATTTGATGCCTGGAGTTACAACGGTTGTTTACTGCCATGTGGGTACTGGGAAGTGAACGGAGGTCCTATGGAAAAGCAGCCAGTGCTCTTAATCGCTGAATCATCCTTCCAGACTCTTTAATATAGTTTCTTAAGCAGTAGTTTTTCTTTAGAAAGTAAAATGCAATCTTCAAAGAAAGTGCAATGACCATTTCTTAATTTCTATTAAAATATATTTAAAAGATAATAATTGCTGGGGTATGGCTTAGTGGTAGATGACTTATATAACATGTTCTAGGTTTAATCAACAACACTATACATGCATGCACACACATATTTATGCATACATAGAAAATGACATATATTTTCTAGAATATTTGAGTACTAACATTTTCCTTAGGGTTTTATGTGACAAGATCTCTCAAATCCAGACTTTCTTGGAACTCTACATAGACCAGGCTGCCCTCAAGCTTACAGAGAATTGCCTGCCTCTGCCTCTGGGGTGCTGGAATTAAAGGTGTGTGTACCTGGTCAAATCCTAACATTTTCAATTCACTGGCAAAAGTGTAAAAATGGAGCAATAACTTACTAAATGGATATAAAGTTTATCTGTAAAAAGGAAACAAAGGTCAGCTAATTAAAAAAGAAATGTTTACTTCCTTAACCACTGAGCAGCCCAGCTCCTTAGCACCTCATATGTTCACATACCCTTTTGTATCCAAGTACACAGGTGACAATGGAACCTGCCCGCTGTCAACTATGGCTCTGCAGTTGGTCATTACTGTTTAGTTAGGGGGCTTCACCCCAGTTCCTGGCATAAGCTCCCTCCCCACCTCTGAGAAAGCCCACCAAAGGGTAACCCCTCCCCAGGGAAGGTCAAGACCACTCCCACAGGCTATTTAAACTGCCCCCCAGAGAATGAACGTGTGGTCTCCCCTTTTCCCTCTTCCCACTCCATGTTTTCCCAGGGCTACCTGGGAGTGCTGGCACCCATTAAACCTGGGTATCTTTTAATTCGGTCTGATTGGGATTATTTGCGTTGGCGGAGAGGTTTGTCGTTTAAGAAAAATACTTAACAATTACCTACTTGGTAACCAGAGCATTCAACATCAACTCAAAGGAGACATTTAGTGGGAGCTGCATGTCAGTGTGGTGACCCTGAAAGTGTGGAAGGAAAAGGATGTCCTGGAACTGCAGCTGGGGATGAATCCAAGTTCTAGCTTGCTTTTCCTGTGAGGAATCCAGCTGATTCCCATTGCTGTGGGCAGTGCCTTAGAATGGCTGGTGGTCCTCCTCATCTCCTCCTCATCAGCAGGAAGAGGATACATTCCAGCTACTAGACCATGTAGCCTGGAGGGAGGACTTGCACTTGCTGGGCAAGTGCTCTCTACCCCTGAGCTAAATCTCCAACCCAGGTGCCTGTTCTCATGTCTGAATTTAGATATGTGTGGAAGGGAAACACACTTTCTGGAAAACATTTTGTGGTTGTTATTTGTTCATCTTGCAACACTTACTATGCGCAGAGGAATAACTATTGAAACGATGGTGCTGATTTTGCTAACTGGGTTAAATATTCTGCTGTTGGTTAGGAGGAAGATAGGGCTTTCCATGGAGCCTTTAATCCCAGCAGCACTCAGGAGGCAGAGGCAGGCGGATCTCTTGAGCTGGAGGCCAGTCTGGTCTACAGAGCTAGTTACAGGACAGCCAGGGCCACACAGAGAAACACTGTCTCGAAAACCCTTTAATCACAGCACTCAGAAAGCAAAGGCAGGCCTCTCTTGAGATCAAGTTCAACTTGATCTCCAGAACAAGTTCCAGGACAACCAGGGCATTTGAGCCTGCTAGGGTGGTTGACTGTTAGGCTGTACACTCTGGAAGCTAGGATGGGAGGGTAGGGAAGTCCTACCACACAAGCATGTAAAGGGTCAACCTCTGAAATCCAACTGGGGTACAACGGACAGTGTTTTCTGTGATCTGCCACTGGCATTTTTCTAAATAGAAAAAGCCATTATTATTTTTACTTACTTTATGTAAAGTGATTTTCAGTCTTATGTTGGCATTCAAGGTGGCCCTGCTTCTACACTGTATATAATATCACATTGCTTGTAATGATCTGTCTCTTTAAGAGACAAGCCACGCCCACTCCCTCCCCCATGGGCTGAGGCAAGTGGATCTTCAGCTTCCAGCCTCCCCCTCCTCCTTTGTTGTCCTCTCGGAGAGGCAGCTTCGGCCTCCCCCCCCCCACTCTGCTCTTCTCCCTTCCCTAACCACTAAATAAATATCCAACTCCACTTAGCATGGTGTACCTATCCATCTGCCTCTTGCTTGCCACCGCCACGTGGCTCGCCACCAGGGACCAGCCATCTTCGGAGACCTGCCATGTGGTCTTATGCACTGTCCCTGCCTGGGACTGGCTGCTTTAGGGATCCCCCAGCAAGCTACTTGGGGATCAGCAGCATTTCTATCCTGCTGCATGGGCAGACTGTACACTGAGGATCAGCTCACACAGTGCATTGCCTCTAAGGATGCCAATACAGTCTCCTCGTCTGTCTGGCCGTATGCTTCTGTGATCCACAGGAGAGCCCAGGAAGGATGCTGATGGTGTCTGGGGAATCTGTGTGGGGAGGCAGGGTACTGCTCACATGTACTGGGTTTGGGAAGAGTGCTGGGCTAGCCAGCCTTCTGGTCAGCACTTGGGAAAACTAAATGGTTCTTTATTTTTTTTTATTCAAAAAATGTATTTGTTATGATTCTAGATACAAAAATAAAAATTAAAATTAAAAGAAGAATGTTCACTAGTTAAAGATATTGAAGATCCAACAGGGGAGTAGAATCAAACCAAAAAAAAAAAAGAAAGAAAGAAAGAAAGAAAAAAGAAAAACCAACAACAAAACGATAGGCCCTGATACCCAATTACATCTAAACCTAAGTTTATGACATGGCAACAACAGATATTTGAACTAATCAAGGCTTTAAAATTTTACTAGATAATAGCTAAGAGCCTGAGAAAAGTGGCCAAGACTTTAAAACTAACACATAAAACCATCTGCTCCCATATTTCTCCCCATCTCAGGATTCAACATTTTCAGAAATCTCTTATTTGTGGTTGAAGTTTTGTGAGGTGAAATTAACCGTTACTGAATTCTAATTTCTTCTTTGGGGTTTTCTTTTCCTTTTCTTTTTGGTTTTTCTCTGTAACTTTGGAGCCTGTCCTGGAACTAGCTCTTATAGACCAGGCTGGCCTTGAACTCACAGATATCCACCTGCCTACCTCTGCCTCCTGAATGTAGGGATTAAAGGTGTGCCTAGTGCCCTGTCTGCAGTCCTCTTTTCCTGTCCTATTGCTGAGACAGGAGGGCTTCCTTCACACACTCTCACTGCTGTGACCTCCAACACCACACCATCCCATGATTATGACTGAAATCACAAAACAGAAGAAATTCTTCTCCCCTAAGTTATTTTTGTCAGATATTTTGTCACAGGCACGAGAAAAGTCACACACAAACACAAGTGGCCCAAGTAACCATCAGCTAACCTTTCCCATTGAGCAATGGTTCTCAACCCTTCCAATGCTGCAACCTTTAATACAGTTCCTCATGTTGCCGTGACTCCCAACCATAAAATTATTTCCATTGCTACTTCATGACTGTAATTTTGCAACTTTTATGAATCATAGTGTAAATATCTGATATGCGACCCTTGTGAAAGGGTCATTCAATCCCCAAAGGAGTCAAAACCTACAGGCTGTGAATCACTGCTATAGAGAATTTTTGGCATCTACACTTGTGCAGAGTGGATTCAGATTATTTTGTATGCATATTAGGTGACAGAATTAATTCGACAAGTGTGTATTAACCACAGTAGATAACCAACCTCCAGCAAAAAGTCAGAGTGAGCTTTCCTACAGACTCTGTATGTAAATGACTGCTGCTGGCCCTGACTAGCTCTGGCATTGTAAAACTACAAAGTCAGGTGGAACTAGTGCTAATACTTCCCTAACCTTAGGCATATTTCAGGAGATCCCTGAGTCTGCCTTGCCGTTACTCAAATCCATTGAAAATTTAAGAGGCCCTCGAATACACCCATTCCCCTCCTGGAATTTCCTGGTGCATTAATGCAACAAGAGATACCTTAAGAGGTGTGAAGGCAGAAGAGTGAGGCAGGGTAGCCACGCAGCTTACTCGTTCCATGCCTGACAGCGACTACATTTCAAACAAAGAGAAGAAACAGAAGGCAGCATTTGAGTTAGCAAATGCCAGGCAGGCAAAGCTAAGCAGTAAAATTAGCAGAGGAAAGGTCATCAACAAACTTTTAAATTGTTTACTAAGATACTAATAGGGCTGACAAGAGTTGGGGAAAACTGCATCATGTAACATTTACATAGCAGAATGTTTCTACGTATATAATTCAGAATACTCTCATGACCTCAGACCACAGTAATCTAGAATTAAGAAGCATTCTAGTTTTATAGCTGCTAATAATCACAGAAAAAAAGACAAGCAAATGTTTCAGAACTCATGTTTCCCATACATACATACATACATATATACATACATACATCTTGTAATAAAAAAGAGGTATTTCTTAATAAAATTTCATGCTGGGCAGTGGTGGTGCACACCTTTAATCCCAGCACTCAAGAGGCAGAGACAGGCCAATTTCTGTGCGTTCAAGGCCAGCCTGGTCTACAGAGCAAGTTCCAGGTCAGGCGCCAAAGTAATATTGTCTTGAAAAAAGAAAACAAAAAAGAAAAATTATTTCGCATGGAAATAAAACTTAAGACACCTATGATTTTAGCAATATCACTTTAAAACTAAATATGTGTCTTCTATTGTTCTGTGAAAAGGAAATAATACAGCCCAGAGAATTCATTTTTAATGAAGCATTTTTGATCTATTTTTAATAAATAAAAGTATTTTTCAATATTAACCCAAGTTATACTGGGAAAGAGCCAGGACATGAGGCTCTGCTTCATGCTGTGCAGACGACCCCACACTTCATCTTCGCATCTGTGAAGCTCCAAATGGCCAGCACCAAGGAGGGCCAAGTGTAGTCTTACTTTCACTTGGCTCTACCTTTTAAAAAGTCTTCGTGTGCACGAAGTGTAAACTTTACATGTGTGTGGGGTATGGGTGCACCAGTGCCATGATGCATGTGTGGGACAGAGGACAAACTGAGGTTCGGTCCTCTTTTTGGAGACAGCGTCTCTCTGCCACAAGCTGCTGCATAATGAACGGGGTGACGGTCTTTGTGTGCACTCACACTCAGGGCAGGAGCACAGGGTACAAGTGCATTACTGAATCCTGCCTTGCGTGGCTTCCAGGGCCTCAAACTCGGGTCCTCACACTTGCATAGCAAGTGCTTTACTCATGAATGTCATGTAGGCTAGGCTAGCTGGTCGGCAGACCCCAGGGACACTGGACATGGCCCCAGTACTAGTATTACAAGTGTGCACCTGTAATAATACCTGGCTTTTAAAGTGGGTGCTGAATAAAACACAGGTCTTTATGCATGCAAGGCAAGTATTTTATCCACTGAGAAATCTTTTCATGATCACAGTGCCTCCCCAACTCTCTATATGATTTATGGGTGTTTTGCCTTAAAGTATGTATTCCACCATATGCACCATGTGTGTCTGATGGCTGTTGGAGGTCAGAGGAAGGCATGGTATCCCTTGAACTGAAGTCACACAGAGTTGTGAACCACCGTGTGGGTGCCGGGAACTGGAATCTGAGTTATCTGTAAGAGCAACAAGTGCTCTTAACTGCTGAACTATCTCTCTGGTCCCAGAAAAGAAGCCATTTCAAGTGATGGGAAGCTTAAGCAGCTCTCTAATGAATGAGTACGGATCAATCAAGTATAGGTAGAGAGAAGAGCAGTACATGCAGGCAGAGAGAGAGAGAGAGAGAGAGAGAGAGAGAGAGAGAGAGAGAATGAATAGCATTACAAAGATCTGAGGACAAGGCTTTTTCACATTTGACAAACAAACAAAAAAAAAGGAGGCCGGGTGTTGGTGGCGCACGCCTTTAATCCCAGCGCTTGGGAGGGAGAGGCAGGCGGATCTCTGTGAGTTCAAGACCAGCCTGATCTACAAGAGCTAGTTCCAGGACAGGCTCCAAAGCTACAGAGAAATCCTGCCTCAAAAAAAACCAAAAAAACAAAAAAAAAAAAAAAGGAGGAGGAGGAGGAAGAGGAGGAGAAGGAGGAAGAGGAGGAGGAGGAGGAGGAGGATGAGGAGGAGAAGAAGAAGAAAAGATTTAGAGTGAGCCCAGAGTTAAGGATGGAGACAGAGTAGCCAGAACACATGAAGCTTCATTTCATTCGAGCTATATTTTAAAATGTAGATTTTAAGAGCAGTATGAAATGAACCCTCTGAAGAACAGTTCTGAGAAGATCAGATTTAAAATATGACTCTTACTTTTTTCTTCTCTCTGTCTGTCTCTCTCTCTCTCTCTCTCTGTCCCTGAGATAGAGTAGATGACCTTGAACGCCTAATTCTTTGTACAATGTTGGCTGGATACTGTTTATCATACAAAGAATGTGAACTTTGCTTTTACTTTTTTATTTGGGTACTTCTGAGGGCCTTGCCACATAGTCCAAGCATGCCCTGAACTAGGTGTGCAGTCCAGGATGGCCTTGAACTTGAAGCAAACCTCTTGCCTGTGATCAGCCTCCTAAGCTCTGGAAATCCAGGAGGACGTAACAACACCCAAAGTGTTTGTTTACAAGGACGTCTAATTCAGGAAATCAGGCCTGGACACCAGCAGCCGAAATGTAAGGTTTTGTGTTTTGTCAATAGCTAAATACTATTTCAGATTTCACACTAAGGATACTTACTATTACTGTTTTTCCAAATTCTACTTTTTCTTTGACAGAAACATATGGACACTCAGACTTTTATCGCTTACTCTGTATGCTATTAGATCTCATCTTCGGTTCCCTGCCATGCCAGTTTTAGCACGGAGGCAAGTCAGCATGGGTATTTACTATAGGCCATAGATTAGATTCCAACCCAGTTCTGGATTTAGCAGCTCGCGATTTTGGCCAAGCCACACCTGGGTAGGTAAGGCAACCTCCGTCTCACTACACCAGATTGCTGTGAGAACTGAGTGAAATAACTGGCATCAGAGACCCTGACTATTTCCTATAGAAACTGTTTCCATTCCTCGTGGCAGCTCATTTCTGCTAGTACTCTAGAGGCTGTCATCTTGGCCACTTTTAAGACTGCCCAGTTAATATCTACTGCATCCACCTTAACAGAAATGAAGACTGCAGAATACAAAGAGACATGAACAAGTTATACTGTAAGGACCTTTACACTAGAGCCTGAATCTGAACAGAATACAAAGAGACATGAACAACAAGTTATACTGTAAGGACTTTTACACTAGAGCCTGAATCTGCACAGCACACACAATGGCAGTTTCTAGCACTTAAGCTAGGAGTTGCTACAGACAGGAAATCTTTTCTACAAAATAAAAAAAACCTATAAAAATAAAAGCATAAAACATGATGGAAAAAGCAGTTTTATCACTGGTTAGAATTCTCTTTCAAGAATGACACAAAGAACTTGAAATAAAGCCTTCATGTTATACCCACTTTAGAGGATGAAGCAACAGGCAATAAAGTACAACTGTATCAAAACCGTTAATAGACAGTACTCCAGTTAATGTTTTCCTGAGTTACAAATGAGCACGGAAGAACAATCTTCACATAAGTATTTATACTTCAAGCTTGTAAATGAAGCTTTGTCCCCACTTCTGCAACCAGTGGGGTATTCCAGCGCCAGTGTGCATGTGGAACACTGCTTGGATTTGCAAGAGGGGAAGGATGTTTTGTAAAAATGAAAACAACAAAAACAAATACAGATAAAATAGGTTGTCATATATAATTAGTGTCATGGAGGGCGGGACTCCATTTAACACATGGGGGTGACTCATGAACTAAATCAGTGATTAACAAGATGCCCTCAAAATCAGAAAAGGCATTTACAAAACTAACTCTGACACTATGTCTCATCACATATGAAGCCAGCAGGGTTCTCAATGTAAATGCTTTCCCTTGGGAAGCCCCGGAAGCCTGGCCAGATCACAAAGTTAACGGAAAGAGGTAGTTCTGGTTGTTTATAAGGCATTTAGTGACAGTGCCCATCATGTTTTATGGTATTTACATCAACTCTAAGTGAAAGCACAACAGCTGGAAATAACACGAACTCCACTTGCACATTCTCTTACCACTAACAGGGCACTATCATCTGTGTGCTGAGACCTTCGGGATGGGAGGGGACACTGGGAAGGGGAAGAAAATGAAGCAATGTCAAAAACAAATATGTACACAAGTGACACATTTCACATATACATACACAGGAAAGCAACATATGAAGACACGTTTCCAAAGATGCTGACACAGGACCACATGTATCACCTGTAGTTCATGCACCAGCAGTCAGTAGGTTGATTCTGAGTACTGACTTCATCCTAGAGACCTCACACAACCTCAAATGAGACCTTATTGTCTATACACCTTCTAAAGTTCAGGCAGGCGGTGACTCTGCTCACAGAAGCCAACAATGAGGTACTCATGCAGCTACAGCATAAAGACTCTGCGGTCATTTTGTAAACCAATGACAAATCAGAAGTAAACCTAAGAGTCATGGTTTCTGCTCTAGGTAACTTTTCATTGCCTCTCTCAGACAAGTGAGGAAATGTCAGCTGGTGTCCTGGCACAAAACACTTGGGAAATGGGGACAGCAGGAGCAGGAATTCAAGGGTCATCACCTTACATAATGAGTATGAGTACATGGCTGGGCTACATGGGACATCATCTCAAACAAGAAGAAAAAGAAAAAAGACAACTGGAAATACACGGGTGACCCCTTAAGGTCTCACACCACATTCAAAATGTTCAGGCAGGAGCAAATCCGAACAGTTACTAAGAACTGTGCTTTCAACCACGTGCTCTAAAAAGCTCCACAATAGGTTTTATATGTATTTATTTAGGAGTGTGTTTGTGTCCCATGTGCATATGCCACAGCACACGCGTGGAGGTCAGAGGACAATCTGTGGGAGTCAGCTGCCATCTTCTGTCCTGTGGGTTCTGGGAATTAAATTCAGATTGGTCATCAGGTTTGGCAGAAAGAGTCCAACTTGCTGAGCCATCCTGTTCCCTTACATTAAGTTTTCAAATACTGTACTTCACAAAGTCAAATAGAGCAATAATCACAAATTAAAAATATAGGAGGGGGGCTGGAGAGATGGCTCAGCGGTTAAGAGCACTGCCTGCTCTTCTAAAGGTCCTGAGTTCAATTCCCAGCAACCACATGGTGGCTCACAACCATCTGTAATGAGATCTGGCGCCCTCTTCTGGCCTGTAGACAGAATACTGAGAATACTGTATACATAATAAATAAATAAATCTTTAAAAAAAAATGCTTTAAAGCCGGGCGATGGTGGCGCACGCCTTTAATCCCAGCACTCGGGAGGCAGAGGCAGGCGGATCTCTGTGAGTTCGAGACCAGTCTGGTCTACAGAGCTAGTTCCAGGACAGGCTCCAAAAAACCACAGAGAAACCCTGTCTCGAAAAACCAAAAAAAAAAAAAAAAAAAAAATGCTTTAAAAAAAAAAAGGGCTGGAGAGATGGCTCAGTGGTTAAGAGCACTGCCTGCTCTTCCATAGGTCCTGAGTTCAATTCCCAGCAACCACATGGTGGCTCACAACCATCTGTATTGAGGTCTGGTGACCTCTTCTGGCCTGCAGACATACACACAGACAGAATATTGTATACATAATAAATAAATAAATAAATAAATAAATATTTTAAAAAAATAAATAAAATAAAAATATAGGAGGTAAAAATAAGGGAAACTGGTCAACACAAAAGTCAACTATATTAAAACAGCACTCATATAAAATCTTCACTTTAGCAGACCTAAATAGGCACAAAAATTTAAACAGTTAAGCAATTAATTGTAAGTATTTATTTGCAATGAAACTGTGGGCTGATCTGGAACTAACATATATGAATTATAACAAGGAAATAAGCACTGAACCAAAATGTTATGGTCTCTCTGGTTGAGCACCAAAATCATTCACCTGCAAAGAGGGAGGGAGGGATGGACTCTCTAGATTGTTTTATATCCAGCCCTAATCTATATATTCTCATAGCCTTCTTCTTTATCCTGTACCCTATTTTCCTTCATATGTAAAATTTTGCGGTGGAGGAAAAAGATAATTTTGGGAAGAAGGTTGGTTTGAGATGGGGGTTTCTCTATATAGCTCAGGCTAGCCTGGAATTCACTACGTAGTCTAGGGTAGGCTTGAATTCTTTATCTTTAGCATCTGCCTTCCAGATGATGGAATTATGGGCACGTGTCATTACATCAGCCAAAAAAAGCATTTTTTTGATCATTTAAACTGAAAACATGATAACTGCATATCAAGCACTTCATTTCCATTGCAAAAATAAGAAATTCCAAGAAAAATAATTATATGGTCTTACCTCACCATCTCCAGGAGGCTGCTGTTTCTGTGGACTTTGTGACGCTTTCTGCTATAGCCCAAAAAGTGGAAGCTAGTTAGAATCTCAACATTGGAACTTATACATTCCATTTAATTAAATGGACCACATCAATTTTGTAGGCAGAGGCTGCGAGTTTGCTTCCCGACCATCCAGACCAGAAATAATCACACAGAAACTATATTAATTAAAACACTGCTAGGCCTAGTGCTTATGCATATTTTTAGCTAGTGCTTACATCTTAAATGAACCCATTTCTATTATTTTATATTTTACCATGAGGCTTGTGGTTTACCGGTACCAGCACCCAGGCATCTTTTTCCTCTGGTAGCTCCATGGCATCTCCCTAACTCTGCCTTCTTTCCTCCTCTATCTCTTAAAATTCCCTCCTTACTCTATTCTGCTAAGCCACCAGCCAAAACAGCTTTATTCATTAACCAATAAAAGCAACACATATACAGAAGGACCTCCCACACTACAATTTATTTCTTGTATTTACTAGTTAAGGAGATTATGCTCCTGTCTTAAAACATTTTAAATAAAAAACAGCAGTAAACTACACTATCATGGTTTTATAAGTATGAATAGAAAAAATTAAAAACCTACACAGACATATTCAGAGTATCACATGAATACTCTCTCATGTGCTTTACATATTTCTTTCTAAATTTATCTTCAATGATTTAGTCATTGTTCAATACCCACTGATTTAGAAATTTCTCATATGTGTAGCATGAATTCTAATTGGTCTTAATAATAAAATCCCAGAGTCAGATTAGGTGTTAATGCTGAAGATGAGAGCAGCAGAGCAGCCAGCCACTAGAGTTCTTACCTCGTCAATGCTCAGACTGAAAGGGCAATCCTGTCTCTACGAATCCTCAGACTGCCTCTGAGCTCCTTTCTGCGCCTAGCCATCACTCCTGTCTCCACATCCCTAGCGCTGGGATTAAAGGCGTGTGATCCCAAGTGCTGGGATCACCTTTGTGTGAGTTCTGTTTCTCTTTTAGACAGATTCAATCTTGTGTAGCCCCAGGTAGCTTTGAGCTCACAGATATCCGTCTGCCTCTGTCTCCCGAGTGCTGAGATTAAAGATGTGTGCCACCACTGCTTGGCCTCTAGGGCTAACTAGTGGCTTAGTCATGCACTCTGATCTTCAAGCAAAACTTTGTTAGATTACGAACAAAATATCACCAACACATATGTTAGTTTACAAAGTACAAAATTCCTGCCATGATAATATTAAAATAGTAACAGACTTATAAGTTTGATATCATACATCTGGGGGGCACAGAATTGCTCAGAAAAGTACACAGTGACACATGCAGGCTCAAACTCAATTTCTTCCAATTCTCCAAGCTTAGAGATTACATCTTCATTTTGTATCTGTCTAATTACTACAATTACTTTCTATTCCATTTTCTCCTTTTCTTTCTTCCCAGACTGTTCTAACATGAGAAGATGGATTTTTCAAAGGGATCGTTCTTCTCATGTTTACTCCTGCCTAAGTCCTTACAGTTTCTTTCTTCTGCTTAACAGATCAAACTTGCAGGAAATTTAATCAGTTCAACAGTATGACTATTTACTTCCTACTAGCTGTTAGGCTTCTATAGAAGGCAAGCCAAATGAGTTAACAATAGCAGCTAAGGTATATGAGTCATTATGGATTACCAAGAGACAACATAGCAGTCTGGTCAGAGTAGGGTCTTGAAAGCTGCCTGGCTTTATTAGAATCCCCTACTCTAAGCCAGGCGGTGGTGGTGCACACCTTTAATCCCAGCACTTGGGAGGCAGAGCAGGCAGATCTCTGTGAGTTCAAGGCAATTACTAGCTAAGCATGTCAGGCAAACTATTTTCTTTCATGCACCTCAATTTTCTGATCTACAAAAAGAGGACAATGATACTTCTTTATTATAAGATTAAAGAGAGAGAGAGAGAGAGAGAGAGAGAGAGAGAGAGAGAGAGGCACTAGGTGTGGTGGTACACATCTTTAATCCCAGCACTTTGGAGGCAGAGACAGGTGGATCTCTGAATTCAAGGCCAGTCTGGTCTACAGAGCAAGTTCCAGGACAGCCAGGGCTACACAGAGAAACCCTGTCTCAAAAAATTAAAACAAAATAGAAAGGAGGGGAGGAGGGAGAGGGGAACAAGGACACAGACTTTTAAGAGAAACTGCTTAAAACAATGTTTGGTATGCAAAAACCATTCAATAAATTTTCTAAGTATTGCTCCCATTGTCACCTTCACCATCTCATCAACTTACTAGCTTTTGCTGTCTTCAGTCCAAATTCTAAACTAGCTGCTATTTTCCTCAAGTGCCCCTAAGTCAAGTGTGTAAGTTATGGAAGCACATTCCCAGCTCCTAAACCACTCCCATTCTCTCAAGCTGTCATGCCGCAGAGGGTTCCTAGGATAACAATCACGTCCTTCTGAGCTCAGTGCGGCTGATGTGCTCTCTAGCTTCTTCTCTGCCTTGATGTAAAACCAGGGCTTTCACCTCGAGCCTTTCCTCCCCCTCTGTACTCACTGCTCCACGACAAGACCTGACGTAATGGAGCCTTGTACTCTATTTACCTTTACAGGCTCATCTCACGCTCCCTCAAGGCCTATCCAGTCAGTGAGGCTTTAGGAAATCTAGGTTTGTTTTCTGACCACAATCAGCCTACAATGTGGGACCAGTACTTCATTTCTGTAGAGCTGAAGCTTCATCTGTGAAAATGAACACTCTCAGCTTCCCTGTTATAAAATAAACAGAGAGTCTTGTTTTAAGTCTTTACTTGGTAATAAGTCAAGTAAAGACTTATGGAAGGGGGTGATGCTTGACAAATCAGAAGAAACAGTGTGAAGTAAGAGATGATTTAAGCAAAAGAATGACAGGAGGTAAAAGAGTGTGATAAAACAGACATTTTAGCTACCTACATTCTCAGAGATAAGAAGGCACAAAAGGAAGAGACATCTCGGGCGGAGAGAAGAGAGGGGCTGGGAGGTGACAGGTTTGGTTTCAGACCCCTATAAACTTGTTTCTAGGAATACTGATGTTAGATCTGTCAATGGACAAATGGTTTTCCTAAATTTTGACAGAGCAATAGGCTCTTACTGAAGGACTCCAGGGAGGAGAAGGACCATCACTCTCAGACTGACACAGCCGGGGTGGGAGCAGATAAGCACATATGGGTGTGGTTCCCAGCAACCACATGGTGGCCTACAACTGTTTCACTGGGTCTGAAATCTTCTTACATCCAAGAGCCCCAGGCATACATGCAGTACACAACACACATATATACATGCAGGCAAAACACACATAAAAATAAATATAGCTGGGCGGTGGTGGCGCACGCCTTTAATCCCAGCACTCGGGAGGCAGAGGCAGGCGGATCTCTGTGAGTTCGAGAGTTAGAGACCAGCCTGGTCTACAGAGCTAGTTCCAGGACAGGCTACAAAGCCACAGAGAAACCCTGTCTCGAAAAACAAACAAAACAAAACAAATATATATATATATATATATATATATATATATATATATATATATGGAATTCATCATGTAAAACAATGAAACAAAAATGCATAGAGTACTTTCAAAAAATGATCTTGGTCTAAAATTCTAAAACACAGAAATCTTTTCTAGGCAAGAATGACTCATTCAACAAAACTCTCCAGAACTCTACAGACTCAAACCTGCTAAGTTCTGGCGAGCAAAACAGACAGTTCCTATCTTGAAGTTTGCAAATGAATGGGAGAGACATATTAAGCGAATAAAATTATAAATACTTAATATTTATTACTTAATAATTTCAAGGGTGATTTTAAATGAAAAAAAAAAGCATAAAATCAAAATTTGTTTCCCATAGTCCTCAGACTGCACAAGAGATGCTATAAAATATCCACAGAAGAAACGGTAACAGGGTTGTCCTTACTGAGCAGGTATGGAAACAGGAAGGAAGGAAAGAATCCGAGATCACGAAAGAACGAAGCCTGGTAGCCTCCCAACAAACAGCATTAGCTACAGGAAAAATCTGGAGACAACACTGTGACATCCACACAGCACTGCCACTTTCATGATCTTTTTGTTTTGTTTTCTGAGACAAGTTTTCTCTATATAACAGTCCTGGTTGTCTTAGAACTCACTCTGTAGACCAGGCTGGCCTTGAACTCACAGAGATCCACCTGCCTCTGCCTCCTGAGTGCTGGGATTAAAGGCCTGCGCCGCCACCACCTGGCCACTTTCATGATCTTTATACTATACCTGAGATGGGAGAGCCAGCAACCCCATAGTAAGGTGGTTAGGATAACGGTTTCTACTGGCCTATAACCAGTCATAACTATGGCTAAGGGAGACAGTCACTCTATCTTTAGTTGAGAATTCTTGTGAGGGAAACAACTGGCCCTTTAATTAGGAAACAATAACCGACAGTCCTGGCAAAATGAATATATATTTACCTCTCTTAACTTCAAGAGTTATTATCTGTCAGTGATGGTAAAGCTCTTACTTTGACAAAGTCCAAGACAGCATCTCTCTGAATCTGCTTAGTCCTTATTTTCTCCTCCTCATATTGCAGGGCTGCGAGCTGTGCCTCTCTCCGAGTGCACTCGACTGACTGTTCTCTCCTCTGATGAAGCTCCAAGTCTGAATGTGAAAGCTGCAAGAGGTTGGACATGCAAGTGGGGATAAGAGTCAACATGTCAATAACCTGTATCAATACAAAGAATGCTGCTAACTCAAGTTTTACTTTGCAGTATTAACATTTTTTAAAAACTCACTGTTCTTATATGTATAAAAGTGGGAACTATCATGGACACATGCTGTATGAACTAACTGAGAAGACAAATAGTAAGATTTATAGATATTTGGCAATTAATGGCAGTTTAAGTATTTAAAAGAACACTGGGTCCCAGCACTCGGGAGGCAGAGGCAGGCAGATCTCTGTGAGTTTGAGGCCAGCCTGGTCTACAAAGGGAGTTCCAGGACAGGCTCCAAAGCTACAGAGAAACCCTGTCTCGAAAAACCAAAAAAAAAAAACACTGGGCTGGCAAGAAAGCTCAGCCAGTAAAGGTGCTTGCCATCGAAACCTATGACCTGAGCTGAATCCCAGGAACCCACGTGGTAAAAGAAACAACTCCCCAAGTTGTCCTCTTACCTCTACATGTATGCTGTATGATATGCACACATAGGCACACATGTGTGCACAAGGACACGAACACACACATACATATACAAACATATAGGACACATACGTACATAAACACATTAAATAAATATTAAAAATTAAAAGAACGTTATCTTAGTTTAGCAAAATCAAAACAGAAATAACAAAGATAAATCTAGTAACTAGGCCGGGTAGTGGTGGCACACACCTTTAATTCCAGCACTCGTGAGGCAGAGAGGCAGGTGGACCTCTATGAGTTTGAGGCCAGCCTGGTCTACAGAGTGAGTTCCAGTACAACCTGGACTCCATGGAGAAACTCTGTCTCAAAAAAAAAAAAACCCCAAAAAACAAACAAACAAACAAACAAAAACCCCCAAAACAGACAAAAAACCTCAAACAACAGCAACAAATCTAATATCTAAAAAACCTACCCGATTGTGGTTTGGTGGCAGTGATAACATGGAGGATGGCTCAGCTGGAACCCTGGCTCCCAAAAAGAAAAATAAGAACTCATTGACAACAAGATAAGGGACAAGAGAAATTTTCATTATTAACAAGTTTCTGCCGATCAGCAGGCAATCTGCTGAGTTAGAACTGAAAGAGTAAACGTAAGCCCCAAAATGACATTAAACCACAGCTTACCTGACGCCCCCAAATTACATACCATCTATGCCAGCCAACAGGGTGACAGTGGCTGAGAGCACTTTTCAAACAGCACCATTTTTTTTCTGTGACACATAGAGCCATTACCCACTTTACTACCATCACTGAAACAAGAGCTGTGTGAACTGAGATCTGATGACACAGCCGTCTCATCAACAGAAACCGGGACTATATTTACAATACAGCACCTTAAGGAACCAAGTAATGACTACTGACTTTCATTCTGAAGGAAAAGGTGCTGCTTACCAAACACAAAGACAGCACCACCCTCCTCGATTTTACAGTTTGGTGGTTATTTTCTTCCTCAAGCAGGGTAACATTTTTCAAGGCTCTGTAAATCATGTGTGTTTCACTGACATCAGTAAGCTAGCAGGCAAACAAGAAAACTTTCTAAGCTCTTGTAATCGCAACACCTAAAAAACAAAATTGTTTTTTCTTGCTAATGCTAGAGGTCAAACTCAGGGGCTCAAACTCTTTAACCTGGCACTTAGGACTACTACCTCCCCTAATGTGCCTAACTTTTCTCCGGTAGGATCCTGGCTGCTTTTCTACCACAAAAAGGAAGCCACCCTCCCTCCTGTGTCTTTCCCAATAAATCTCTGTGTGAAGTTTATTGTGTGGTGTGATTTTGTAGTATTTCTTGGCTCTCAGCTGCCAGGATACCTTTCCCTCAGAGCTGTAACACAATAGTGACACAGCTCAATGGATCTTTATCCTTGATACTAAGCCTGACAACCTGAGCTTAACCCTGAGAATCCACGTGGTGGAAGGAGAGAAGTGACTCCCTACAAATTGTTCTATGGTGTCTGAACACAGACACAATACATGCACACGCATGCGCGCGTGCACACACACACAGACAGAGAAAACAAACTAAAAACAAGGATTCAATTTAAAATTAGAAAGCAGGCAAAATTTAATTATTGTTCATTGTCTCTTCACCTTTGTCACTGGTAAATGCCTACTTTCTAGACAACTCAATTGGCCTTGGCTACCTACACAAACATCCAAGACACCCATTTCAAAAAAAGAAACAGGCAACAGGGATTATCCTTAGTTAGTGTACGAGCACTGCCTGATATTTGCTTTGGGAATAATCAAATCATTATTAATCACAGCTATAATTATACATAATATATATAATAATTCTATGCATGCAATTATTAGAATACCCTTAGTATATGAGCACTGCCTAATATTTGCTTTGGGAACAATCTGATAATTAATAATTCCTATATATTGTTATAAATCCAATGAATTAGGAAATTTACTAAAGTATGCTGGGCTTCAACATCTTCATATATATACTTTTTTTGGGTTTTGTTTTGTTCGAGACCGGGTTTCTCTGTAGCTTTGGAGCCTGTCCTAGAACTAGCTCTTGTAGACCAGGCTAGCCTCGAACTCACAGAGATCCGCCTGCCTCTGCCTCCCAAGTGCTGGGATTAAAGGAGTGTGCCACCACTGCCTGGATCAACATCTTCATTTATAAAGTTAGGATAAATATGTTTACCCCTAGGATATGTTATTAAAACTAAGTAAGATACTGCAGGGATGGGGAGATGGCTGGGTTGGTAAATTATTTGCAAAGCAAGCACTGGAAACTGAGTTCAGCCCCCAGAACATGCATAAACAGTTGGTGAGCACTTATAATCCTGGTGCTGGAAAGGTAGACATAGGATCTCTGGGGCTTGTAGCTAGCCAGCTTGCCTAATCAGCAGATGGAGAATCCCAGGACAGTCAGAGACTGTCTCAGAAAAGGTGAATGTGTTCCTAGGGAGCAACAACTGAGGCTGTCTGGCCTCTACATGCATACATACATACATGCAAAGGTACACCTGCATACACATCATCCCCACAAACAGACATGTTCATTTACACACAGAGACCACAAAAACATACTGGAATGACTACCTGTTTAGGATGACAGGAATTAATTATATCTTTGTCCCAGCTCTACTACTCTTGATTGTTGAAACTTCCTGTAGCTTTTATTAGACATCTGTGAATGATCTGAATCCAAAGAAAGAAGGGACCAACTAAACCCATCCCCAGCAGGCTATCTGTTCTCACCTGAACACTGTTTTTGAATCATTTAATATATACCTCTCCTTCCATATTTCTCTAATTTTTAAAACAGAAGATAATGAAGGACTCCAACACTGCATGATGTTTCTAAGCCCTGCTTTCTTTTACACAACTGGAGACAGGGCCTCACTAAGTTGTCTAAGTTAGAATTGAATTTTCAATCTTTCTACTGCAGGCCTCTGAGTGCTCAGCTCCTACTATATTTCTTTACCTTCTCTTCATACTGAACTTTCTTTTAAGAAGCCAGCCAAACCCAGTCTCCATTTTTAAGTCTTACGATCACTGGGTCTCCAGAGCAGCAAAGCTCCGCCCATGGTGAACACTACTAAGGCAGCAGGCTCAGAGGATCAGTAATATGGGGCACTTCATCCTTCCCTCTCTTTTTCCTGTGCAGTTTTTGTGATTTTATGTATCTACTCATGTTCACTGCTGGGCAGCCTAGCGTTGGGACTGGTGACTCTGATGTGGTTCTTAGAGCGAGCGTTGCGAGCGATCTCAGCACAGTCGGCTTTGATGCACTTCAGCAGCACTTCCAGCCTCTAGCCATTGTGGACCAGGAATTTCCAGAATCCCATAACTGATGCTGGACACCAGAGTTTGGCCCTAGATCTTCTCTGCACCCTAATGTCAATCAATACATCTAGCTTTCTGTCACTTTTGCTTAATTTTGACACAACAGTCTGACCGGTGCCAAGTGAACTTGTTGGTCCTCTCTCTCTCTCTCTCTCTCTCTCTCTCTCTCTCTCTCTCTCTTTTTTTTTTTTTTGAGACAGGGTTTCTCTGTAGCTTTGGAGCCTGTCCTGGAACTACCTCTTGTAGACCAGGCTGGTCTCGAACTCACAGAGATCCGCCTGCCTCTGCCTCCCGAGTGCACCACCACTGCCCAGCTTGTTGGTCCTCTTTTTGGAATTCCTCAGATGCTGGAGGGGTAGGAGCTACGATGATGCCAAAGAGATGGCAGTGACCTCGAAGGCAGCAGAGAGGAAGATGAGCCCTGCTCTTTTCATCTTAGCCTTTCAGACACTACCCTTTGTCTTCCATCCCTGAGTGCTCCTGCTCAGGCTCTTCTGCCAGTTGTTTAAGCTCTAAGTTCTCCCTATCTCTGTGTCTAACAGCTTACTCAAGTCTTAAGGGAGTACCTAATGGGCATTTAAAGAAAATGACCATATCCATTCTGAGATAAAGATAAAGTATATAAAATTTAACTAAACCTTCAAGGAATAATTTATGAGTATAAAAGGTCAAGTTACATAATTTTCATATGTGGGCCTGGAGAGATGACTCAGTGGAATATAGCACTGACCGCTCTTCCAGAGGACCTGAGTCCAGTCCCAGCACCCACATGGCAGCTCACCACTGTCTCTGCCTTCAGTTCCAGGGGACCTGACAGCATGACAAAACACCAAGGCAAATAAAATAAAATTAAAATATTTTTTCTTATTGATTATTCTTCCTACATTTTCTTCAGTCCATCAACATCACAGTTCCTGAGACGACATACAGCATGCTATCTGTGTAAAGTCCTAGGATGGATGACAGATGACAACACATTTACTGTCAGCTGGGTGTGGTGGCACATGCTTCTGAGTCCACGAGGCAGAGGTGGGTGGATCTCTTAGTTTAAGGACAGCCTGGTCTACAGATTGACTTCTAAGACAGCCAAGGACTACATAGAGGAACACTGACTTGGAAAAACAAAACAAAAACAAAAAGAACAGATATATCAAGCCTACTGTTTTTAAGATTTCATACACAAAGACCAAAGACTGAAAAAATAAAACTAACTACAGTTTATAACCAAAAACATTTTAGAATTCTAGACTGAGAAAAAATATTGAGCTAATTTTAGAAATAGGGAGACTCGGGGCTGGAGAGATGGCTCAGTGGTTAAGAGCACTGACTGCTCTTCCAGAGGACCCGGGTTCAATTCTCAGCACCCATATGGCTGCCTGAAGATCTAGTTCCAGGGGACCTGACACCTTCACACCAATGCATATAAAATAAAGTTAAATAAATAAATAAAAAAGAAATAGGGAGACTCAGTGCAGTGGAGAGACTGTATATATTGAAGAAAGAAAGAAAATACACATAACCTGCTCTGTTCCCCCACCAAAAACTTAAGTTACAGAGTAGGGGCTTCTGAAAATCTTTAAATTTTCTAGAATAAATATACACCCATCACCACAAATTTCATTACTACTAAGTACTTTTAAATCATGTGATTCTAAGGTCCTGGTTTAGGTACCATGTTTACGATGGTGTGAGCACAAATGCAGACAGATCTAGTTTAAATACACGCACGGAAAGCACACCTAAGTCAGACGGCTTCATTATATTTGGATTTACACAAAACCAAAATCGATTCACAGTAAATGAGGCAGAGCTGCCTTTTCACACCTGCTTAGATGTGAGTATCTTTTCACGTCTTCTGTTTTCTGAAATTCTCTAACAGCTACTGGCTTTACTGGTGAACCCTAGACCAAAAGGAAAAAAGAAAATAACTTTAACATACATTATACATATATATAATTCTGTCAATATATTCTTAATTACTTTTACTTTTAGAAAATTAGACACTGGAACTTTATTTTGACAGGATATTCCTTTGTGAGTGTTGTGTTTAAAAGCATGCAGGCTAGCAGGTTGTGATGGCGCATACCTATAATCCTAGAACTCAAGAAGCTGGGGCAAAAAATTGAGTTTGAAGCCAGGCGGTGGTGGCGCACGCCTTTAATCCCAGCACTCGGGAGGCAGAGGCAGGCAGATCTCTGTTGAGTTCGAGGCCAGCCTGGTCTACAAGAGCTAGTTCCAGGACAGGAACCAAAAGCTACGGAGAAACCCCGTCTCAAAAAACCCAAAAAAGAAAAAAAAATTGAGTTTGAGGACAGCCTGGGTAACAGGAAGACTCTATTCTCAAAAACCTATAGCAAGGGCTGCTGAGACGGGTCACTGTGGAAAGGCACTTGCTGTGCAAACCAAGCCACCTGAGTTTGCCCTCCAGAATCTCCAGGAAGCTGGACAGTGAGAACCAACTCCAAAGTTGTTCTCTGACCTTTATGGATGCACTGTGGTATGTGTGCTGACAAACTCACCAACACATACATATTAACAAATGAACAAAAGCAGAACCAAACTGAAACAAACACACAAAACTCATATTACATGGGCTTTGATAAATAAAAATATGCAAACTCTATGAATATTTATTTTATTTAAATGGTTATCTTTTTATTTTTTATATTAATTAGTGATTACAAAGAGTAATATTGTCAGAATAAAAAGGGCCTTAGCAGCCGGGCATGGTGGCATACATCTTTAATCTCATTACTAGGGAGGCAGAGGCAGGTGGATCTCTGTGAGTTCGAGGCCAGCCTGGTCTATACAGTAAGTTCTAGGACAGCCAGGACTCTGTAGAGAGACCCTGTTTCAAGAAACAAACAAAACAAAACAAACAAAAGAGCTCAGAACTCCCTCCCGGCAAGCTGAGCTGCATCTGCTGAGCTAGCGTGTGACTCCCTTCCACTGCTGCAGCAGAAGTTACGCACCGCCCAATTGTAGAAAGTGACACGACACAGAAATACCAAGAGCACTATGCCAAGAATTACAGCTACCGCACAAAAGTAGTTAGAACTTAAAAACACTAAAGGAGCCTCTATAGTGTGGTAGGGACACTGCTCAGTAGGCCAGTGAGCAGTTTCTGTTCCATGTTGTATAGACACTCCACTCACACAACCTATCATTATAAAGTGATTAAAGGAAGAAAGAAAAAAAAAAGGATTTCTCTAAAGAGTATTATGTAGCATTATTAATTTAAATTTTATTAGAAAGTAAGTCTTGACTCCAGCAGAGAAACTAATAGCTTCTAACAGCTTGAACCACAGGTCAGTTTTATCAATCCCTGGTCTATCATTATTTTTTGGCTACAGGATTTGATTTATGTGCTTTTATCTGATTTAGAAACAAGTGTCCTCTGAACTGCAACAAAAACGACTGTGTTCAAAGCCTTCAGACAGGAGCAGAGGATTCTCTGGAGGAATGCTATTGCTCCGCAGTCACTCCGCTTGAAGCAGTTGATCCTTGATTGCTAAGTTAAAGACATCACTCTTCAAAAAGGCCCCAGTGTTCCTCAGACAACTGCCTGCTCAGAGCCTGGGACAAACTCCAGACATGAACACAGCACACACAAGAATGAAGTCATTTTACTCTGCTGACTAGATAGATTGAAGAATGTTGTTCTACTTGAGACCCTTGAGGAATTGGCAGAGATTCTACAGTGGTCTGAATGCCCACTTGTTTTGTAGGCAATTCAATGCTTCATTATACGAGACACCCAAGAATTTTAATAGCAAACAATTTATATTCTGCTAACATAGGATAAAAGCATCAGTATAATTAAACTTATTATTATTCTATGGGTAACTTGAATGTTTCCTCAAAAGTCAACGTTGGCTTAATTAATTACCTATCAAATTATGATTTATAGTTAGCAATAACATAAAAGCAAACCAATCAGGAAAAGAAAAGGAAAGAAAAAAGCCAGTCAGAAAGCAAAACAATATAGTAAGGAAAAGTATCCTGTCCCATGCACTCTCTGCAAAAGCCTGAGGTCACGCTCAGGTGTCACGCTCGGGTCCCCTTTACTGCATCTTCAAATGAATGAAACCTGCCTTCTTATCTGAAGGATAAAATTTGAACCATTTTTTAGACTACTTCCTGATTTTTCCAAATTAAGTTTGAAAAATCCAGATCTAAGATTGGAATGGAAAATAAAACAAATAGGTCTAAACCAATAAATAACTGCCATGCTGAAATCTACGCCAGCCCGAACTGTCTTCAGTAGGAATACCAACTTTCTTAGGCTAGAACGGGACTCTACCTCATGGGAGATCCGCCGTTGTTCAATGTATGCCATGAACTGTGAGCTGAGACTGTTGGCATCCAAGCCTTTGTGCTGTTTGACATCGTTCTCTTCTTCTTCTGTAGTACAGCTGTCAATGTAGTCAATCTGATCCAGATCATGCTCCACTGTACACCCCAGAGAAAGAGACAGAGAGAGATTCAAAGTTAAACAGACAATAAAGACATCTGCTTAAATAACATTCTCCCTTTTCCCTTTGTCTGTTCTGTGACATATGCCTTTAGGAGTTAGTCTATAGACCCTTGCAAAACTTAGTCCAAATACACTAAAGAATGCAAAAACTGAGGGTGAACCATTGAAGTTTAGACCCTGACATCTATTTATTTTTCTCTGGATGGCTCCATAGTGTTTTAAACAGGCAGCCTGAGTCTGTGGGACAGAAGATGGCTGCTGCTTAGAGACAGAAGGCCGTCTGTATCCTTTCATTAGTTTGAGATCCAGAAAATGTAACAGTTAACTCAAAAGAGGACAGAAGATATGGGATAAGAAACTTATTGACTGTTTCCCTTCCTGCAGTTCAAACTTAAAAAAAAAGAGAGCACAAAGATTTCCCTATTAGAAGATTACTTGCTAGAGGGCAATGCTTCAGAGAGTTCTGCAGTAGCTTGGGAGTGAAAAATGTTCTCTTCTCAAAGACACCGACTGGAAAGTGTATCGTATAACTTTTTAAACAAAACGTCTACTCCCCTAGAAACGCACTGGAGGAGAGGAGGCAGCTGAAGACACATAGAATGCTTTCATCTACAAGCTTCCGGATGTTAACTACTTTTAACAGCTAGTTAAATGGCTCACTAGGAAAGAGCTCATTGCGAAGATGTTTCTCAAGCAGTACGATAAACCCCAACTGTAGTTTTATGCTGTCTTACTGTGCCAGAACACTGAATTTAAATGAACTGCAACTTATATTAAATTGAATTTTGTGTTATAAGTTTACTAAGATTTACAAGAATTAAAAGGTTATAAGGTGATATTACATTATCCACTGAGGCCACCTCCTCAGTCCCCAAATGCCACATTTCAAATGCTGAATAACCACATGGGGCTAGTGGCTACCACACTGAAAGGCACAGTTGGAAATTATGTTGTCTTAAATATAATGACGGTACAGATAACTAATATGAGAGCAAAATTTAGAATAAAATTACTAAGATATGAGTGGGATGGTAAGTGACAGAAATAAAGAAGAATGTAAACCAGAGAAGACAAAACAATTAGAAATGAAATTGTTTCTCAAAAACATAAGCATTTCTAGAAAATCTATGTATTTCTCCCTCAGCACTGGCCCTCAAGATTTAAACATTAGACTTTAAAATTCAAATTGGAAGAATACAGAACGGAATCCTAAAACTTGCTTCAGAAGTACATGAAGCAGAGAGAATGGTATATTTTATAAAAATGACTACTAAGTTCAAAATGTCAGAATAAGAAAGCTAGTCTTCAGAAGCTCTAAGAACATACTCCAGATGGGAAACAGAGCTACACTAAGACACGCCCTGGAGGACGGGCATGCTGGTAGGCACCTTAGTCCCAGCTGTTCAGGCGGTTGGTGTAAGGTTACTTGAACCCAGGAGCTAGAGTCAGCCTGGACAATGGGGTGAAAACTCATTTTATACAGTGTAGGCTAAATGATTCAGTAGGGAAAAGCGTTTCTTGCTAAACCTGATGACCTGAATTTGATCTATGGGAACCACAGGGTGGAAGGAGAGAAAAGTTGTCCTCTAAGTTCATCGTGCCTGCGGTCGCACACTCCTTCCGAATAAACAGGTAACTCTATTTTTAAAAGTTCAAAACAAATGCAAGCAGATAAACACAATTGATGAAGAGCTCAAGAAGTCTCATTAAAATAGAGAATCCTAAAAAGAGACAATATTACTTCAGAAGAATATTGTAGTAAGACCAAGATAAACAAAATCTACTGCAGACAAACTATACTTTCTAAGGTTGCCTCTGAAATAAGTATTTGAGGGAAATAATTTTAATTACAAACTGAAAATGAGAAATTCGGTTTTCATTCCAAACTTTTTTTTTTGTCATATATAAACAGAAGTCTTTAGAAGAGTGAAGGAGCTATAGACACAGAAACCAAAGAGTGGGTGTGACAAAGATTACATCACAATGGGGATCACTAACTGCCTAGGCCCTCACCATGCCTTCCCTGCATGCTGCCATGTCGTCTTCACCACGGTGGACTGCGTCCCTCTGGAACCCTAAGCCAAATCAAACTGTTTCTTTCTTAAACAAAAACAACGTTAATGTGGGAGTTGGCAAAGTCCTTGCCCATCACACGCAAGGCCCTGGGTTCAATCCTCAGCACTACACATCCAGGAATGGTGGAACAAACCTGTACTCCCAGCAGGAGGTAGGAAGATCAGGTGGACACAGGAGGAGGGGGTTTGAGGCTAACCTTGCCTACTTAACGGGTTAGAGGCCAGTCTGGGTTATAGGAGAGCCTGATATAAAACAAAACAAGCTAACGATTCAAGGCTTTAAACATCATCACAATCATGCTTACCTCCACCATTTGAGACTACCACACTGCTGCGATTTTCCTGGTACTGGCTCTCTCTCCGAAGTCTCTGCTCTTTAGTAATCTCTGCCACTCGAAGAGGCAAATCTGAAAATTCATCTGTAGGCTTAAAAAGCAGAAGCATTAAAAGCCATAATCTCCATCAGGCAGTGGTGGCACATGGCTTTAATCCCAGCATTTGGGAAGCAGAGGCAGGAAGATCTCTGTGAGTTCGAGGCCAGCCTGGTTTACAGATTGGTTTATAGGACAATCAGGCCTACACAGAGAAACCCTGTCTTGGGGGAAAAAAGGATACAAAAACAAACAAATCATCATTTCCAATTTTAGATAATATAAAGAACAGGGATAGAAACTAAAATTTACATAGAAAAGATAAAGCAAAAAAGTCTGGGGAATTGACAGTGAATATTGTATAATTATATGAATTATACAATTGAAATATGTACTTTAAAATGGTAAACTTTACCACAATTAGCAAAAATAGAAGGATATTCAGAACTCTAAGTATATACACGGGTTTAAATTATCTACATATATATGCATTGAAATATTCATGAACATAGTTACCAAGACATATATACATACATACATAACTACAAATTATAAGTTGTGATGTAATATTAATTTGGTTTGAGTTACTTATTATTTGATTTATTAACTTTTTTAGGTTTGACAGGGTCTCACTGTACAGGCCTGGCTGGCCTGGAACTCACTATGTAGTCCTGGCTTCTTTTGAACTCAGAGATCCACCTGTCATTTCCTCCTGAAGTATGTCTAATAATATAATTACATTATACTATAGACTATATATACTATTTACATATATATAATATAATACTATTAATTAATCAAAACACACCAACAAACAAACCCATGTATTTTTGGCATGTGAATGAACTCACTAAGATGTCCCACCTTCTGTAGGAGTAAAGCCAGCCCTTGCCAGTGGCCAAGGAAGAGCTCCACCACTGACCTACAATTTGAAGCTTGGTTTCCAGTCCTACTTACTTTCTCGGCTTCCAGCGCCCCTCCTATCACTGCTCCGCTCCATCATCAGCCATCAAGTTCTAATGTCAGGGCTTTTATTGTTTTGAGACAGAGATTTGCTATGCAGTGTAAGCTGCCTGGAACTTACTACCCAGGTCAAGCTGTCTTCAATTCGTGGTCCTCCTGCCTTAGCCTCCTAAGAGCCAGCTAGGCTTCAGTTTTAACCACCTCAACTCCTATTCAGCTTTCCAGAAAACATGCATGGGACGAAACAGTGTAGAATTCTCCAATGGCAGGACTATGTAAGTTTTTTGCCCTTTCTTTGATATCTCCATTTTATGTAATTTTTCTAAGTCAGGAGTTCCGGTATATGAAGAGAACACTTACCTCATTTCCTGACCACCTCTTGTCCCCACTATCCACACTATTGAAGCCTGAATCGAGGGCTCCATAAGGACGTGAGTACAGTTCTTCATGGCTGTCCAAAGGAAGTGTTACTTGTTACTATGAGGCTGAATATTTTTAAAATTAACATCTGAAATTAACCAGTTACAACTTTATTAACAAACATCCTATGATTAGAGCTAAGTGAACAACATTCTCTGAGCTTTTTAACAGGAAAATTCCAAATAGGAACAAAGTAAACAGAATAGGATGAGCCTCCACGCTCAGAATCCACTTTCAAAAGTACCACTGCTCAATTCTGTTTCCACTGTGCGCATGTGTAATGTTAGCTCACAATGGATTTCATCTCATAGCCTCTCCAGACTCGCGTCAACACACTGTCTTCATCTGTCTCACCCCTCCTGCCAACCCCTTTCTGCTTTATCATCACAACTGTTCCACCATCCTGTTTTCATGTCCCTGAAGATCTTGCATCATTCCCATGATTCTCTTGCTAGCTTTCACACAAGCAAACATGCGCGCACACACACACACACACACACACACACACCCCCCACACACAGGCATACTCGCACACGCATGCACACAAATGCAGGTCCTAAACAAATGAAAAATTCTCCTTATCTGGTTTTGGTACCAGTGTAACCTGGCTTCACGGGCAGGTTTGGCAGTTTACCTCCCAATGCAGTGGGACAGCAGAAGGGGCACTAGCGCTAGCTCTTCTTTAAAGGTTTAGTAAAATTCAGCAGTGAATCCATCTGGTCCTAGACCTTCCTGTGTTGGCGACTTGACTACAGCTTAATCTTCATTGACTGATACTGCCCTAAGTTGTTTATACCATCTTAATTTAATTTTGGTAGGTCATACAAGTCTAGGAATCTACCCACTTCTTAAGAGATTTTCCTTTTTCTTTTTGGAACGTAAGTTTTCAAGTATATACCAAGGATTCAAGACTGATTTGTGGTCTAGACTGTGGTCTGCTTCAGAGAAGGCTGCACTGCACGAAGAGCAGAGCTCCTGTATCTCTGCTAGAATATCTTCTATATTTTGGTTAAGGACATTTCATGTGTGATGTAGTTCAATGCTGAAGTTTCTTTGTTGACTTTGCGTAGAGTGATGAGAAGACAACCTTTGGGAATTAGTTCTCTCCACCATGGGTCCCTGATTGAACTCAGGTATTCACGCTTCATGATAAGCACTGTTCCTCGCTGTGCCTTCTGCTGGCCATCTTTGTTTACCTAACTGGATGACCTACGTGAAGATGGGAGGGCAACCGCGACTGCCCACTGTTTACATCTATTTGTCTGCTTTTCCTTTTTGGTTTGGTTTTGGTCCCAACTCTGGTACATATGTTTAACAGTTATGTTTTATTGGTGAATTGTTCCCTTAATATGTTGTAGGCACATATACACCACCATGTGTCTGTGAAGGTGAGAGGACGACATGTATAATCAGATGGTTCCCTCCATCATGTGGTTCCCAGGGACTAAACTTAAGCAACTTGGCAGCAAGTGTCTTTATGTGCTGAGCCATCTGCCCAGCTCGGACAGCTTATTCTTAAAACAATCTCCAGAACATTTTCTGAATCCTCTTTCTACCTCCACTGTTCTCTGCATGGCACACCGCACTGCACCACCCTGCACTGCTCTCTGAATGGCACACCCCACGGCACCACCCCTGCACTGCTCTCTGAATGGCACACCCCACTGCACCACCCCTGCACTGCTCTCTGCATGGCACACCCCACTGCACCAACCTCCACTGCTCTCCACAGGGCTCCCTTGGCCTTTTCCTTCTGCTGGGTTTTGACTTCTGCTGTGGATTTCAAAAGCTCTTTCTCTACTCTCCTTTTTACCAATCACACAAAAACAGCCACTAGTCCGCTATTCCGCAATTCTTATTTCCCTTGTGCCTACAGCCATTCTCTACACACACACTTGTTTTTATAGTTTAAAATTTACTTATTTTATGCTTTTTGAGACAAGGTCTCACTATGTAGCCCTGGCTGTCCTAGAACTTGTTCTATAGGCCAGGCTGACCTGGTCTAGAACTCAGAGCTCCACCAGTTGCTGCCTCCCAAGTACTGGAATTAAAAGGTGAGTGCCACCACATCTTTACCTTTAATAATATTTTTTCAAATAAAATTTAGACACATTTAAATATTTGTGTATAATGCTGACAAAATGCTGTATCTCTGTAATTCTATCAGTACAGAGGACGTTTCTGTTTTGCCAGTAAGTTCCCACACACCTCTCTGTAGTGAATTCTTGTCCCCTTGTTGTTGTTGTTAGGGACAAACACTGCTCTGAGGTTCTTCCTTTGTTAAATCTTACATTAGTGTGGAAATTGAGTAACAGATCCTAAGGATACATGCAAACACCAACGACCCTCAGGGAGTTTGCTACAAGATGCCACACACTGACTCCACTCACAGGAACTCCAGGAATGGGCAGGACACTGGCGGGGCAGATGAGTTGTCTACTGGGTCTTGTGTTAGAAAAAGAACTAGCTTTGAGGGATAGGGGAGGAACGGAAATGCTGTGCACGCTGGCTGTGCTGGTCTCCCACACTCAGGACGCACTGCCCTGGCAGAGTCACTGCCGGTAAGTCATGTCTCAGCAGAACTGCTGGAGCACTGGAAGCACTAGTCCTGCACTTCTGTGAACAATTCCGAGCACTCTGCTTGCTCCACACCCTCACCAGCATTTGGTATGGTCACCTTCCTTGAACTTAGTCATTCCTGCGACTCTATGTGAATACAGTGACTTAGTTTGCACTCCTGTCATTAACAATGATGTGGAATACTTTGCTGTATGTGTGCTGACCATATAAATCTCTGTGAGGAATCTCTTCACTGGGTTGCTGATCACTGTAAGTTGCAGGTCCTCGTCGTGCATCATTCATACGCTTTACCAATATTGTCCCCAGGCTATGGCCATCATTTTCTTTGTACGGAGAGCTGTATTTTTGATGAAGTCTAACCTATTTTTCCTTTTATAGTTACTACTGTCTGTGGTCAGCAGGACGTTCTTCCGTGTATGTGACGGGATGCACGTGCATGTGGAGGCTAGAGACTCCCCACTTTATTTTTTTGAGTACTGTCTTTCACTGCACCTGGAGCTCGCTGAATTGGCTAAGATGGCTGGCCAGTCAGCTCCAGGAATGCACCTGTCCCTGTCTCTCATGCTGGAGACATGTGTGCTGCCATGCCCAGGCTTTTATACGGGTGCTGGGGATCTAAATTCTCCTAGCCCTAGAGGTATTTTTTCAGGAGTTTTATAGATTTATTTCTTGCTTCTTTTTAAATGAACTTTAAAAAATAACTTAATTAGAAATCTAAAAAGTAACAAATTCTATTTTACAAAATTAGTCTACCAGTATTTTATTTAATAAATCTTCCTAAGTGGAAAAGCAACGATTGGGTTTTTTTTTTGTTTTGTTTTGCTTGTTTTTGAAACAGGGTTTCATTCAGCCCAAGGTCATTAATTCCTGACTCTTCTGTCTCTATTTCTCAAGGGCTGGGATTACAGGAAGGCACTAGAATGCTTGGCTAAAATAAAGCGTTTTTCTGAAATCTACCTGGCCTCCAGGTTGTATCTCTGTCATGTTCTATCTTTACCCATAAACTTCAGTCTCTCTAACAAACTAGCCCCAAAGTAGCTTCATATGCACTGGTAACTGGTAGCAAGATGATAAAGTGGTATAGCACAATGGGGTTTACAGTGTAGCTTCTTAGTCTAAGAAAATAGAACCCAAGGATTGTACAGTCTTGAACAAACCATCAAATAAGTTATCACTTCAGTGGGAATGTGCTCTTAAATGAGGGCATGTTTTATTAAAAAGCTACTCAATCTATTTCAATTGAATTTGTGCATCGAGCATTGACTGAATGTCACACGACGTTCTAGGTGCTAAGAATGTTAATATGTGCTGGATGGTGGTGGTGTGTGCCTTTAATCCCAGCACTCGGGAGGCAGAGGCAGGCGGATCTCTGTGAGTTCTAGGCCAGTTTGGTCTACAGAGCAAGTTCCAGGACAGCCAGAGAGCTGTTACACAGAGAAACCCTGTCTTGAAAAGCCAAAAACCAAAGGAAAAAAAAAAAGAATATTATGAATAAAGAATGGTCACTGGCTTTTAGAAGATCAGGCTTGTTGAACAGAATAAATTCAGAGGGTGGGGTTACAGAGGCAGGTCTTTTTGATTTCGGTGGCTCACTCTGTAGTCTAGAGCTGATTCCGAACCTGACCCTCCTGTCGGAGTCTCCTGGGTTCTATTTTATGTGCACTGTTGTTTGCCTACTTGTAAATCTGTATGAGGGTGTTAAATCCCCTGGAACTGGAGTCACAGACAGGTGTGAGCCTCCATGTGGTTGCTAGGAATTGAACCCAGGTTCTCTGGAGGAGCAGTCAGTGCTCGCAATCTCTGAGCCCACGCAATCTCTTCAGTCCCACAGCTGGATTTGTCTTATCAGTCAGTGGTTCAGTATTTCCTTAGTTTGGGTTTGTTCTCACATCAACAAAAATAGACATGTTTAGTCAATAAAGATGCCTAAAATTATCTTATCAAAAAGTAGGTCTCAGCCTAGCTTGGGGACAAAAGTCTTTAATCCTAGTACTCCAGCACTTGGGAGGCAGAGAGAGGCAGGGGGATCTCTGAGTTCGAGACCAGTCTGGTCTACAGAGTGAATCCCAGGCCAGCCAAGGTTACACACAATCTCAAAACAAACAAACAAACAAAACAAAAAAATTCAACATCAAAAGATGGTTAAATCTAAGAACTAAAAGTACTAGCTTGTCTAGTTTGTACTGAATATTCAAAGAGTTAAGGGATTCTTTGGAGGTCTGGACTCTATCCGAATGAATCCTTGCCTAATAACACAGGTTTTAGGGTCACGTAAAGAACTTTCAGATTCAGAATATATCTGTTAATTTAGACTTATTGCTAGAGTATATCCAGTGCAAATATTATATTGAAAACGGAAGTTTGGAGAGGATAACAAACAGCGTAGTACCCTAAGAAGACAGAAACTCAGAACCAAGAGCCTCTAACGCCAAATCTATGCTTTGAACAAATAAACCACTAACTATAACACAATTCTATTCATCTTCTGTACCTCTGAAAGAAAAAACAGAAGTACAACATTTCATCACCTGGTACTAGAGGACTAAATGAAACATTACATATAAAGCTTCCCTTCAGTGTTCATGGGGAGCTAGTTCCAGGACTCTTCACAGATATCCAAATCTAGGGAGACTGAAATGATGACATGTAAAATATCAAAGCATTTCCATAAATTCTATGGATACCCTTTGTATTTTTGTTGTTGCTGCTAAGAAAGAGTCTTGAATTCCCTATTGTAGCTGAGGACGATCTTCCCAAGTGGAAGGATTATAGGAATGTATCACTGTACCCAGCAGGGTTTTTTGTTGTTATTATTATTGTTTGTTTGCTTTTTGAGAAACTGTTGTCTAAAGTGAGTCCAAATTCCTGAGTTCAAGTCATCCTCATACTTAAGCCTTCTGAGGGGTAGAACTACAGACACATGTCACCATACCTGATGATCCCCTGCCCGTGTACTCTGAATCAACTTCAGGGTATTCATAATGTCTAATGTAACACACAGGCCATGTAAACAGCTGCTATGCTGCACTGTTGCCGAAGGAATAATGACAAGAACAAAGTGTAATTTTTTTTTTAACCCCTGAATTCATGAAAACAGAGGGCCAGCTATATCTACATATATGTATCAAATTCACATTTCAGGAATGTTCTGAAACAACAGTTTGTCTCTGAAAAAAGTGGAAACTATAGGAACTAGCCTAATGAGTGACCACAACTAGAGATTATGATAGGAACTGTAATGCCCTGCTCCTAAAATCTCTAATTCTTTTGGAGAGAAATGACATCTTTACACTGTTTAGGTTTCCCATTTACTTAGAAACCTGAAAGAACTTTCCTGCATAAATTCAAACCTTATATCTGCTAGCAAGCATGCACTCAAGTCCTTTGCCAGGTAATACAGTATTTTATACTATGTATATGCCAGGTAATATAGTATATTCACTATGTATTTAAAATAAGTACTATAATATTTCCAAACATAAATTAGGCCAGTCTCAGAACTAAGGAACAGTCTCTCAGCCCTCAATCAAAGCGCACCACTCATCCCTGATGTCTCCTCAGGTGGTCTTCAAACACACACTGCACTCACCATAATTAGCTCAAGAGCAGCAGGAGCAATTTCATGCTCCTACTCTGCTATTCCAGGAGAAGGAAGTTTTCCCTCCAAGAATCACCAGCTCCACCAGGGAAAGTCAATTGTGTGTACTCAAAAGAAAAGCCAACTTTGGTGTATTGTACATCTTGTAAGAGTATCGTGTAAAACACTTTAATGAAAACAAAATAGGAAAATCAAGGTTTCCGTCCACACCTAACAAGTGTTTCCATATTATAAGCAATGAACTGAGCTAGGAAAAAAGGCAAGGAGGAAGAGAATATAGATGGTAAAATGAAAACTCTTGGCAATAAGGATCTGAATCATTTCATATTCTTCACTGCCAAAATCCTCCTCCTGCAAGAGGCCTACACACCACACAGTCTTCCAACTGTCATGTCCCTGGCATCCTTGACCTGCTTCAGTCCTCTGAGCAGGAACACTGAGCCGAGAGGGTGGTCTCGGTAGGCGTGGTTACAGTATGACTTTCATTTTCTTTGCCGTATTAGTTTATGTTTAAGCAACTATGTTAGAGTTGCTGTTCAAATATCCTTCGCAGTGTCTAAGCCTTCAATCTAATAGTCAGACTAAGCACCCTAGAATGTCACTGCAAAGATCTTTCTGATGACTTTATGTGGAGGGAAGCAGTATTTGTTTGATTAAATCAGTGTTTCTTTCATTCAACAACTATTTCCTGAGTAATTACTGTGTCTACCAAATGCCCAGCTGAGTGAGGAATCCCGTATGGTTGGCAGAATCTGCAGTGAACAGTAAGTGAAATCCCTGTGGAGTGAGTAGCACGCTATTTCCCTGAGAAATCCTGTTACATGTAAGTGAGGTTTTCAGACAGCTTTAGATTACTCCTTTGTAAAACACTTAATGTTTCATTTTAGTAATTTCTAATAAAGACTATAATAAGCTGCCTTTTCTGAACATGATACATATTTAATACACCACAGAAATGTCTGGCTACATCTGTTTTTAGAAACTACATGGACATTTGTTCATCTATTCTAGGCTAGAAAATTACAAAGCAAGCTCATCTGGACTGTGGTTTTAGCAAAACTGACAGGTCCTAAACAAAGGCCTGGGAGGTTCTCTGCTGAGTAAAGTCCATGGTCATTGCAACTTCTTTACTTTTGAAAGCTTTCTTTTGAAAGCTTTTTAATTTAATTCCTGCACTTTAGATTGTTCCACATCTTACATGGCATGTGATATATAGCTAAGGAATTCACAGACTAAAAGGATCTCAAAGTGATGTCAACATTCAACAACTTCTTAACACTTATAAAGGAAAATGAAGCAAAAACGTTCAAATGACTTGCAATAAATCAGAAATCTTGTCAGTGGTATTTAAGCCACTCAATCCAGTGAATTTCAAGTGGGGGAACTGCCAGGGATACTGGCAATATTTGGCTATCTGAAAACCTTTCGATGTATTTTTGGTACCTAGGGGGCCAGGATGATGCTAACCACCCACCCAATAGAGAAGAGTCTCTTCTAACAAAGAACTCCGAAGTCAATAGTGACCAACCTGTAAGAGACTGACAAGCACTCAGAAGATAAGAGTGTTACTTTCTTTCAGGCAATTTAAGAATAGAGTTCATTTGATTTTCCTTGTCATGTACTATAACAAAAGAATAAGACATACTTACCATGAGCCAAATCCCAATGGTCTCCTTTCATAATCTGGTAAATCTGGAGCAATCTTACAAGCTTGTATGTTCAGGTATTTAAATATGTGGATTTTGCCTTTTATACATATCTAAATAAAATAACAAATTCAGTCAAATTACCATTCATCTAAAATATAGATGTTTAAAAAAATTAGTATTATTTTATGTGTGTGCATCTCTTTGTACCATGTGTATGCTTGTGCCCACAGAGGCCAGAAGAGGATATTAGATCCCCTTGAATTAAAGTTACAAACAGTTTTAAGCAGTCATGTGGACACTGGGTAGTGGTCCTGGATTGCTGGAAAAATAGTCAGTGTTCTTAACTACTGAGCCACCCATGGTGCTTTTTTTTTTAAATCATAACTAGCTTTTTGTGTAACATAAATTGGATTTTAAGGCATCTCTATTAAATATATAGTGTATTAATTAAGAAATCTATCATTGGCTGAATGTTTATTTAAGGGTTTTGACTTTTAGCTAGTAGAAAATTTCAGTAACAGAAGTAATTTTTAATTATAAACACTGTTACACACCAAGTAAATTTAACAATACTGACTTGCTATATACATTCAGGACTTTATAGACTTCTCTCTACGCATTAATTAATCACATACAATTACATTTTTAATGCTCATCTCTACAGGAAAGAACTAGAAATGATAAAATGGAGAAATTTATATGTTCCTGTTTCCTGGCTACCATGAGGTGAGTGGTTTGCTCTACCACGTGCTTCCGTTGCCATGACAATGTCTCACCATGGGCATTAGCCAGCCAACCACAGGATAAACCTCTGAAACCAGATCCTGAGTGAGATAAGCCAGACCCAAAAAGAGGAACATGGGATGTACTCACTCATATTTGGTTTCTAGCCATGAATAAAGGACATTGAGCTTATAATTCATGTTCCTAGAGAAGCTAAATAAGAAGGTGAATCCAAAGAAAAACACATAGGCATCCTCCTGAATATTAACCTTCATCAGGTGATGAAAGGAGACAGAGACAGAGACCCACACGGGAGCACCGGACAGAAATCTCAAGGTCCAAATCAGGAACAGAAGGAGAGGGAGCACGAGCAAGGAACTCAGGACCGCGAGGGGTACACCCACACCCTGAGACAATGGGGATGTTCTATTGGGAACTCACCAGGGCCAGCTGGCCTGGGTCTGAAAAAGCCTGGGATAAAAACAGACTTGCTGAACATAGCGGACAATGAGGACTACTGAGAACTCAAGAACAATGGCAATGGGTTTTTGATCCTACTGCACGTACTGGCTTTGTAGGAGCCTAGGCAGTTTGGATGCTCACCTTACTAGACCTGGATGGAGGTGGGTGGTCCTTGGACTTCCCACAGGGCAGGGAACCCTGATCGCTCTTTGGGCTGAGGAGGGAGGGGGACTTGATCGGGGGAGGGGGAGGGAAATGGGAGGCGGTGGCGGGGAGGAGGCAGAAATCCTTAATAAATAAATAAATTTAAATAAAAAAAACCAAACTCTGAAACCAGGAGCCTTCCTTCTTTCCTTTTACTTACTTTCTCCCAAGTACTTTTTCACAGATTAAGAACTGACTAACAAACCTTTTCATAGTTATAAAGTTCACACATGACATTTACAGATTCTATAATGACTGCCATAAGCTTATACAAGTTATTTTTTAAAAACCTGCAAAGTGAGGGCTGGAGAGACGGCTTGCAGGTAGAGGCACCTACTGCCCATACTGTAACCCACATATAGATAACAGCTCCACGAAACTGTCCTCTGAATTCCACACATCAGAGCACATGTGCACAGATACAATGGAAAAAAATAACTTCACAAAATTTCAAAGTGAAAATTATGGGCTTGACAAATATTTCATAGATTATAGAATTTAAACTACCTTTGGTTATCATTTTCATTTTAGTGACTGGCAAACAAATGAACCAACTGGCTAAATGAGAAACTTAACATTTCAGGAAACAGAAAGGCACAAAAACAATGGTAACAAGAATACATTGATAATTTTATAGTTTGGAAAGTTGTTGTTTATGGCACTTCTATATTCCAATTCAAGCTTTAATAGAAAATTACAAAAGAAACAAAAATTTTATTAGAAAACTAGTTTTTGAGGAATTCTTCAATTTAAAGTACCTAAGGGCTGGGGAGAAAGCTCAGTCAGGAAAATGCTTGCCCCTGTGGCAAGCAACAGGTCCTGAGTCTGGATCTTTAGGACCCACACAAAAGCTGGGAACAGCAGTGTGCACCAAACATTGGGGAGGTGGGGACAGGATGATGTCTGGGGCTAGCGGGCTGGACTAGCTGAATTCACGGTGAGCTCCAAGTTCAGGTGGGAGATAACAAACAAAAACAGTAAGGGGCAGAACAACTGAGGAAGACACCAGCTGTCAACCTCTGGTGCACACAAAAGTGCCAGCCTAGCGACAGGGATGCTGGTGGAAACGTCACAATCTTTTTCCATCCCTTCTACTAAGGGCATTCAGGGAGTGGGGGGTGTCAATGACACACAGAGGATGTCTTTTAAGAGAACTCTGCCATAGACATCACCCCTTTCAGCAGACGCCCCATGTTTACCTGTGCAGGAGGTGACTGCAGTGGGTTGTTTTCTAGGGTGATCACCTGGAGGTGCCTCAGGTTCCGGTAGCACACGGGGATGGCTGTGACTTTATTGCACGAGAAGTCTAGTCGTATCAGAGGCACTTCCGCCAGCTCTGCATGCAAGGAAAATGCAACAATCACTAATGTTTTACATTCACAATTTTTACAATACTTTCAGTTAAATATAGTGGATTCAAAGACCATTTACCTCTATTCCTAGTGACTAACAAGGTATAAAATATAATCTGATTATTCTGAGATAGGAGAACTACCAAAAATCAAGCAGCTTGACTCCCCTTTTTGTTCCCAGAACTACTTAGTTCTCAGACACCGGACACCATTCAAAAAAAAAAAAAAAAGATAAGAAAGAGGATAACAAAGGGGTTAAATAGAGGTTGGCAGGTGAAAATGAGGATGTAAAAGTAAACACACTAATGGCAATCCCACCTACTTTTCCACCTGCTCTGTCTTAGCCCTACTTCTAAATGCCAGTAATTACAAATACGTACAATTATATAGAGGAACTGCTAGTCATATCTTTCTCTGGAGAAACTACACAGTCCCATATAAAAGATCTTTAGAGACTGTGGTGGTTTGAAAGAAAATGGCTCCCACAGGCTCATAGGGAGCAGGCTCATTAGGAGGTGTGGCCTTGTTGAAGAAACTATGTCACTGGAGCGGGCTTTTTAGGTCTCAGAGGCTCAAGCCAGGCCTAGTGTGACTTTCCCTTTCTGCTGCCTGCTGATCCAGATGTAGAACTCTCAGCTGCCCCTCATCAGGCTCCCTGGCTTGATGACAATGGACTAAACTGCTGAAACTGTAAGCCAGCCCCAGTTAAACAGTTAATTTTTTTTAATAAGAGTTGCCACAGTCATGGTGTCTCTTCATAGCAATAGAAACCCTAAGACAAATACTGATATTGAGTTTTCCCCAGTAAAATATATAGCCTCTTGCTTAATTATTTTTCAAGAATTCTACCCAATGTATTCAGAACTTCTATGATGATGTGCATAAATTATATATGACCCACAGAAACTGAGAGGTCTCCAACAACCTGTAAGACAGAAAGACCAATGAAATAATAAAAGAAAAAAAATAAAGTAAGAAGAAACAGGAATATAGGAACAGAGGGAAATTTTAAAAGCTAGATTATCTTTGATTTCTAAGAAATATGACATGGAATCACTAAAAATTTCTAAAAAGTCACAGAAGAACAAGCATTCTACATATAACGGTAGAAACTAAAACCTGTGAATGAATTCCTGAAATTAAAAATTCAAGAATGGGGGCTGGAGAGATGGTTCAGTGGTTGAGAGCACTGCCTGTTCTTCCAGGGAACCTGGGTTCAATTCCGGGCACCCACATGGTAGCTCATAGCTGTCTGTAACTCAAGTTCCAAGGGATCTGACACCCTCACACAGACACACATGTAGACAAAACACCAATGAACACAAAACAAAAATAAATAAATCTTAAAAAAATAGTTAAAAATTCAAGAATGGCTTGAACTGTTTTACTCTAGGGTAGCAAAAATGGTGAAGAAAGGACGTGTAAGAAAAATCAAAGGATCAAAGATTTAGACATAACATTCATTTGAAACGTGGAACAAAAGAGCCAGAAAAAAAATTATTAGAAAGAGAAAGAGGCCGGCAAGATGACTCAGTAAGTAGGTGTGGTAGCACATGAAAGAGCTAGAGGCAGGAGGATGCCTGTGAGTTCATGGCCAGCTTGGTTTACATAGAGCTCCAGGACAGCCAGAGTCACACAAGGGAGCATAGGGAGAGTCTGTCTTAAAAAAAAAAGACTCAGCAGACAAAGGAGCCTGCTGCCAAGTCTCAAGAGTTTGGCCCTGGATTCACACGACAGAAGGAATGGACCACACATATGTCCTTAAATGAATGACAAACAGAGTCAGCCCACTCTACGGCAGCATCTCACAGAACGTCAGTGACCAGGAAAAAAGGGATGATCTTAAATCTTCCAAACTGCAAAGGCTGGATCAGAGGAACGGTTTTAGAGAGAGCAACCCACGTGCAGTTGCTGGGTCTCAATGCATATCAGTAAGATGCAGCAATGTACCCAGAACACTCAGGAGGCCCAGGCAGCAAACAGCACTGCTAGCAGAAGTGCAGTCAGCCTGGGCTATAATGGTGAGTTCCAGGCTAGCCACAACTATATACCAAGACCACAATTCAAAAACAAACAAACAAACGCTCCCCTCCCCAAACCATCATTTAAAAACAGTCAAGAAATACCAGATGAAACAGCCAACAAATTTAATGAAAATGCTCTTGACCACTGAAAGTTGGGGGGAAGGTGAGGAAAATGATTAATAATTTCTTAAAGCTTTTAATTATCTTTTAAACTTAGCTAAAATTAATTTAAAAATTAAAATGGCAATGTAACAAAAAATACGTTATCAACCAAAATACAATGTAGGAGATTACTAGTAAATGCTTAAACTTCCTGCCATGTCAAGTTAGTTAACATGCTGATTACAAACCATGCAATTAAACGTTTACAACAGTGTAACTTATATTTCCAACAATTTATAGCAGAAATAAAACTAGATGATAAAACCATGACACTGTACTTGCCAAATTTCATTAAAACCTCAATGTTGCTAGGTATGGTGGCATTAACGTGCCATTCCAGAACTCATAAGGCTGAGGCAGGAGGATTGTGAAATTGAGGGATAGCGTAGGCTATATGATTCTACTTCAGGGAAAAAACCCAAATACACACATACAATCCCAAACTTCAATATTTTCATCAGTAATCTTACTCCATGAACAAGCCAGAAGATGGTGAGCAGGCCCTGAATAAAGCGATAGCTCGAGAGAGAATTTTGGATGTGGCACTGAAAGTGTGTAGCTGGGTATCCCAGCTGCTTAGGAGTCAAGATAGGGGCAGAAAATCTCGGGACTGCCAAGGCAAGTTGGACTCTGAAGAGGAAAACAAAAGAAAGTGAGAAAAAGTGACAACAGCACAGATTCATGAAGCATCTTGCTTAATTAACATGCACAAGGCTCTGTGCTTCATTCTCAGTCCTTGAGAGAGAATGGATGAATGTGCTGCATTATTAGGACATAGGTCATAATTCTTGTTTGACTAGGAGCTTCTGTTCCTATCTTGAGTAGGTAGCAAATGCCAATAGGCAATGGAGGAAAGGCTTGAAGGCAAACGGTGTCAGTGTGAAGGCTACCCGACAAGTTCAGCGAGAACATGTGCTAAGTGTACAAAGGTGAATGAGAAAATAATTTCCTAATGTGTTTACTTTAGATCCAAATGTCAAATGTATGTAACAACTAAGTATTTCATTAGATAAAATTGGAATACTGTTTGGATTTTATAGTAGAAGCAAAAACATCATTAGTTAACATTTATTAAATTCTGTCATATAGAACCTAGATCATTGTTATGAAAACATTTCTGAAGATTTTCTGTTTTTGCTGTTTTTTTTTTCTTCTTCTTTAGTTTTGAGACAGGGTCTCTCTCTAATCAAGGCAGGCCTCACACTCATGATCATCCTGTCTCTACCTCCCCAGTGCTGAGGTTACAGGCACAAGTCACCACAGATTTCTTATTTTTATTTTATTTATTTATTTATTTTAAAGAGATTTATTTATTCTGTGTACAGAATTCTGCCTGCAGGCCAGAAGAGGGTAGCAGATCTTATTACAGATGGTTGGGAGCCATCATATGGTTGCCAGGAATTGAACTCAGGACCTTTAGAGGAGCAAACAGTACTCTTCACCACTGAGTCATCTCTCCAGCCCCGATTTCTTATTTTTAAATATAAATTCTGAAATGTTCATGAACTTTTTTCCAGAATTTACTTTGAATTAATCTAGAGGATTAGGGTAGAAAAATGTGGGTGAGAGGATAAATGTGTGTGTGCGCGTACGTGCGCATGTGTATGAAATAAAAATCACCACAAGCTGACCATTGTAGCACCGTGTAACAGGCACAAGGAAATCCATTTATTTAAAAAATTTTCTCCAGGTGGTGGTGGTGCACACCTTTAATTCCAGCACTTGGGAGGCAGAGGCAGGCAGATCTCTGTGAGTTCGAGTCCAGCCTGGTCTACGAGAGCTAATTCCAGGACAGGCTTCAGAAAAAAAAAAAGAAATTTTCCATAACTAAATTTAATAAATATAGTCTGAATTTAATTAAAATGGTTCTCATTTTTGTTTTCATTTGTAGCCTTTTCTTTCATAGATTTGTATTCATGAGCATGTGATAAAGTTTAATTTGTTTAATCATTTCTGTCATTCAAATCCACATCAGAGTTTATAGTGCACATAAGAAAACCCAGTTCTACCACAGTCTCACATCGTTTGTTAATACGTATCACCTACACATGCTGAATTAGACCCAGCCAGAATTTTTCTAGTAAAGAATAAAATTAAGTTCAATTCAAACTCCATTGATCCTACTTAATTTTCAAAGTCCATTTATAAATCAGGGCTAACCTACAGAAATGCCTTACATCACACCAGACTATCAAGTGTGCTACATTTCTGCCCATAGCCATGCTTAGCTATATTCACAATGACACTCTCCTCAAGGACCAACTACAATAGTTCATAAGTCAACAGGATCTAAAATGGAGTCACTGAGCAAGAGTTATCAAAACGTTTCTCTCAAGTTTTTGTGATTGTTTTGCTAGCATTAAGGCTGGCCCTCCAGCCTTGACTGTGCTAGCCAAGTGCTCTAGCACTGAACTGTATCCCCAAACCCTCTTAGGTTCTTTCTTTCCCTTTTTTTTTCTCTCTCTCTCTTTCCGAAGACAGTGTCTTGCTGTATTGCCAGGCTGGCATGAAACTCATGATTCTCGTCCTTTAATTTTGAATTTCAGACAGGGTTTTACTCAGTTGCTCATGCTGTGATCTTCCTGGCTTAGCTTCTTGAGTAGCTGGGATAACAGGCCCATGGCATAAGACATAGCTCTGAACAGCTTCTAAAGTGCACAGTCTAGATGATGCTAACTCAAAAAGCGTTCAGATCTCAAATGCTGGCTCTAACTCATATATATTTTTGACTTGTGCCCATCAGTCTGAGAGATCTTTAAAATAAAAAAACAAATACCAACAAAACAATTATTTCGTAGTTTCTTACCTTCAGGCAGGCGTACTAGATGATTTCTTCTTACATTAAAGTCTCTCAAGGCTTCCAGATTACCAATTTGGGAAGGTACAGTTTGAATTTCATTGCAGCTCACATCCTATTTCAAAAGAACACAAAGGTATGATTATTCTAACCACAAACTTGCTTGCTTTAAGATACTTACAAAGTGATATTAGGCAAGATAATACCTACATTCCTTCATGGTAATAATATATATTATAATATTATAGGTATATGTATTATCATCCTTCATCTAAGAATAATTCAGTTTGTACTCTCATTTAATTATACACTTTTGAGTAATTCTTCAGATTTTATATAGGTTTATAGAAAATCCTGAAATTAAAATGATATGGCAAAAATGATATGGCTTAAGATATAAATAGAAGGCCTAGAGTATCAGATTCAAAGATGTTGATGAAAAGTTAAAGCAGAAAATGATATATTTTATTTTATACTGTTCTAATTAAAATAAAAAATACAATAATGATAAAAATTAAATGAAGGGCTGGAGAGATGGCTCAGTGGTTAAGAGCATTGCCTGCTCTTCCAAAGGTCCTGAATTCAATTCCCAGCAACCACATGGTGGCTCACAACCATCTGTAATGAGGTCTGGTGCCCTCTTCTGGCCTGCAGACATACACACAGACAGAATATTGTATACTTAATAAATAAATAAATTTAGAAAAAAAAAAGGGAAAAGAAAAAAAAGAAGAAGAAAAAAGCGAAAAAAAAATTAAATGAAAATTACTTCACAGAAAAGCTCTCATTTTTCAAAATATCAGTTTGGCTGGTCAAGAATATAAAATTAAAATGTATACAATGACTCTAATTTTTATCCAACTGAATATAAAGAGAAATAATAAGGTGTACACAAACCAGAGGACATGGAAAAACAGGCCGCTATTATCCAGTCAGTCTGAGTCTAATACAAACAATATGGAAGGAAGTCTGCTGGTAGCTTGCTTACAAGCTTGAGCCAGTGGGTCCAAAAAAAGTGCCTATCTACAGCTTCCAAGATGAATAAGTTCAGAATTCCGTAAGTCTGAGGCCAGCCAGAATAACTTATAAAACCATAATTATGTACAGCAGAAGGAAGCTCAAGCTGCACATGAATACTTGAAAGTCCTCCAATGCATGAGTGAAAAAAAGACAGCTCATATACAACTTACAAAGCCAGTTTGCTTATCATAAACCTCAATAAGCTTTTGACAGTTTTAAAACTCATTATTACAATTATTATTTGTTTGTGGACCCGGGGGGGCGGGGAGAGGAAACCTTTGTGTGTGGAGGCCAGAGGACAGCAGTCTGTGGATTTGGTTTTCTCTCCTCACCACATGGGTCTCAGGGGACGAACCCGGGTCATCAGGCTTGGCTGCAGACTCTTACCTGTTGACCCATCTCGCTGGCCCAGACATTACTTTGTTTTTCTCAAAAGAGAAAAGAATATAATTTTCACCTTTCATTAATGACAGAAGTAGAATAAAAAAATTAGACTTTAAAGTTCAGTGTTCTAGGCAACAAAATTTAAGGGTAGTGAAAGAAGTTTCAGGCAAAAAAAGTGAGTCTGTGGTAAAGGTCTTAGTAATTTGTGATGTGTCTCCCAGAAAACAACTGTGTTGATAAAAAGCCATTTACTTCCACCCACAAACGACAGTGGAAGGAAAGAGAGAAGGGCACAGAGAACAGCAGCTTTGAAGTTACTCATTCTTTCTCTGTCGGGAATGACGGAGGGCAGGAGGGTACCTTCTGTAGAAAACTAGAAGCATGACTCTATCTTTTGAGTTCTTAGGACTGAATAAGTATTTAAAGTTTCAACAATTTGACAATAGAATTTGGGAAACTAAGGTATGGAGACTGAGTTCAAGGCCAATTTAGGCTACAAAGTAAGGCCTTTTCTCAAAAAGAAAAGAAACAAAAAGAATATGATCAAACTGCACTATAAGAAAAAATTTTAGATAAAAAATAAACAGTTATATTCTGTCTATCATGGAAAAAATAAACAAAAGAACTTAAGAGTATAATTTATGCCTACTTCTTGCTAACAAGCCAAGTTCTAAAGAATGTCCCAAGACAAACATTTTGGATTTTATTTCCAAAGTCCGCTAGCTCAAAAAGAGTAGCCTAAACTCCCAACTCTATATTGAATGTCTGAAGGTTTAACATATAACCTATTATATTTAAGTCCCACCAAGGTAATCTAATTTGTCCAATTAGATTTATACCATTTTTTTCTGTTTACAACCATCTTTATCAATAAACCACAAACAAAAAACTAAATTTCAATGGACACAGTTGCATTTGATTATTTCATGCAATAGGAAACATAGGCTTTAGTTCAAACAGGCTGATTTCCAATAGTTGGGTTATACAGTCTCCGGCAGACTACAACATCTGAGTACTGTTTTTTTTTAGCTATAAAATGCGGACAATAATAAAATCCAGCTCATAATATGATTGTGAGGATATACATAGTATGACTCTTCGTTATTTCATTTATTTATTTTGGTTTTTAGAGATAGGGTTTTTCTGTATAGCTTCGGCTGTCCTAGAACTCACTCTGTAGACCAGGCTGACCTCAAACTCAGAGATCCACCTGTCTCTGCCTCCCAAGTGCTGGGATTAAAGGGGTGCACCACCAACACCCAGCTAGTCTGACTCTTAACTCAAAACATAAATACTTAAAAGATGGTATCTTATATGTTCACAAATAATAGTAGACGAAGTTAAATATATAGTAGAAAATATATAAAAGCAAATTACAGTTGGCTACTATTCCAAGGGTATGGCAAGAAAAAACAAACATACAAAAAACAAACACTAACTTTTGGAGTGCCCATACACTGATAACGGCTAAGAAAAATCATAAAAATATTGATGATATTAAAATTTTAATTTGAAAACTCAACTACATTATTAACTTACATCTTAAAAGTTTAGTACCACAGAAATCATTTAATGCTGGTTTGAAAATAACCAATGACATTTCCCCATTTTGTGTGGAGATGTTAAGACTTGTACATTGAAGTCTTTTTTAATTATACATCAAGCCAACACTATAAAATTATTTTAAAAACAATCTTAATCATATAGAAGACTGCAGACATGCTGGACAATCAAAAAATAAAATGTTAACTTACAAGTTCCGTCAAATGTCTGAGATGTCCAATTTCTTCAGGAAGTGAGACCAATTTGTTATTACTAGCAATTAAGACTTTCAATGGTAAATTACACAAGTGTACTGGCAATGTCGAGAGTTGGTTCCGACTAAATGAGTAAGTAGAGAAAGAGCAGTCAAACACCACTGATGAAAATGTTTCCACTTTCCTCATTTCAGACACAAAAAGAAGTCTTACAAGGAACAAATAGGATACTAGATTTGAGTTCCTGCCAGTTTAACCATTCCCAGCTAACAAAATTTAAACAGATAACAGGAATTTTTGTTTATTAAAAAAAATGAAAATCAGAAACACAAAATAATAAAACATATCTATCAATAGTATAAAAACAAATTAAAAATTTACTATGTAAATTTAATCCCATAATAATTCTTTAGGGCCAAGTCTTTCCCCATTTTCAAGATCTTTTTCTTGATTAATATAGTTCATGGACCTTTTAAATTTTTTAATTCAATAATAATTCTACTCCTATGCATACCGATTAAGAAAAGTTAACATTTACACACAAATTTCTCTAGCTGTGTTATTTTTTTAACATGATTTTTAAAACTGCTAAATATCTGAATGGGACAGATTCTACTTTTATTTTTAATTAAGTGTCTATGCGTGTGAGAGAGCGGCATATGCAGCACCCAGAGGCTAGATGAGAGCAGCAGATTTCCTTGTAGCTCCAAGTACAGGCAGTTGTGAGCTGCCTGACGAGGATGCTGGGAAGCGAACTCAAGTTCTCCAAAAGAGCATTTTAACTTTTAACTACTAAATCATCTCTCTAGACTCAGGGCATATAAACCGGGCAACAAAATATTTACGAGAAATACATGTCCAAGGTCCAACGAGAAGGCTCAGTACCGGGTAAAGGCACTTCCTGCAAGTACGGCCACCTGAACCCAATCTCTAGAAGCCACATGAAAGTGGAAATGGACAACCAACTCCAGAGTTGTCCTTTGCCTCTGTACATGCATTCCAGCACACCCAACACTCACATTATGTACACATCAATGCTGTGTGTACGTGTGAACCTAGAGCCTTGTGCATACCAGGCTAGTGCTCTACCAGCTAAACTGTGTCTCAGTCCATTACATCTGGTATTTACTAGAAGCTAATTTGAAAATGTAACTGGAGAAGCACAGTTGAGAGACTTCGACAAGCCTATTAAGCTAATGGCTAGTAGGATCTGTTAATTATGCAAAACTAAAAAATAAAAGAAGAAATAAGAGAAACATGGGAGAAACCATTATTATACCCTAAGAACATATTAGAAACTGCTGGTGTGAACAAGTAACATAAATAACCATAAACATCTTAGAGACAGAGAGGAGAAAGTTAAAGATCACATAAAACTACTTTTTCTAAAGGAGTACTATTCTTACCTAATATTTAAGAATGTCAGGGCTTGTAAGTTTAGAATGGCCTCTGGGATATACCGAATACAATTCTGGTATAGGTTAAGACTTTCCAGAGAGACAAAGTGACATGCTTCCATAGGAATTTCTGAGAGGCGATTTCGTGACAAGTCTGAAACAAAAGAGAAAAGCTTAGGACAATTCTTTGGAACTTGTTTTACTGAAATTCGTTAGTATGCTTTATAATAACCTGAATTCTCTAGAATTCCTATTGTGAAAACTGGTTCAGCATAAACTTTAAAATATAAACTGAGCAAGCAAACCACTAAACATTTAAACTGTTGATGGGAAATGGTTCCTTTTTCCTTTCCACACACACTAAAACACTGGCCACTCATTATATCAAAGCTGTATCACTGAATTCCAAATACCATCAGAAACAAATGGATTCCTCCCCCCAAATTCACCTTCCCAAGTAGATATGAGAGAGAGGGAGGGAGGGAGAGAGACAGACAGACAGACTGCCCTGAAGCATTCATGGAGGCCAGAGGACAACTCTCCAGAGTAGGTAGGCCTTGGGACTCAGAAAGCAGCTTGTCAGGGCTGGGCCGCAAGCACCTTTTATTCTCTGAGCCACCTCCTCAGCCCAACGGCCCTACTCTTTACCAAAGAAGTCAAAGTCCTTTGTTAAAATAGACTCAGGAACCTTCTTTGCTCCAAATGACACAATCTGAACCTCAATAAAAATAGTACTTAAGGGCCTGGAGAAATGGCTCAGTAATTAAAATGTTTGCTGCTTTTCTAGAGGACCACTAGGCAAATCACAACTGCCTTTATCTCCAGCTCTAGGGGATCAGACCTCTTCTGGTCTCTGTAGGCAGGCAGGCAGGTAGGCATGCACATACATTAAAGAAAAAAAGAAAAAAAAAACGTTTTTTCTGAGAAAGGGTCTTTCTGTGTATCCTTGGCTGCCCTGGAATTTGATCTGTAGACCAAGCTGGCCTTGAAATCACAGAGATCTGTCTGCCTCTGCATCTCATGAGCTGGGATTAACGGCGTACGTCAGCACTGCCCAGTCTAAAATTTGAAAAACTTTTTTTTCAAAAAAGGAATTTCAATGAATCAAATCCATCATCCATATTCACATGAGTATAAATGATACATCCTTCAAAGAGACAGAAAACTAAATCATTAGTTTATGAACTAATAAGAATCCACCACTTATCTTGCCTTTCCTATATAAAAATATCATAGAGTAACCTAGATATTCTATCAAAGAGATGATGAAATAAAAGCATCCTAGTTATGGGTGAAAAAACAAACAAACAAAAAACCAGGATATCACTATTTTACAACTCCCAATGAAGTAATGGATATAGAATAGAGCATAAGTGGCTATCAACTTTTTAAATTAACTGTTTGCTTGTCTGTGTGTGTGTGTGAGCGCGTGCGCACACATGTGCATGTCTGCCACAGCAGCCATAGGAAGGCCAGAAGAAAACGTGTAGGCATCAGTGTGCTCCTTCCACCATGTGGGTCCTGGGGACTGAACTCAGGTGGTCAGGATGGGCATCAAGGGCCTCTGACCTGAAGAGCTACCTCACTGGTCCTCAATGGCTATCAGGTAAAAGGATCAGAACATCTGGGCAGGATGGCACATGTCTGTAACCCTAGCACCCAGGTGCCTGAGACAAAGTTTCTGAGTTTGAGGTTAGCCTGGGCTGTATCCAAGGACCCTATCTTAAAACAACAACAAAACAGGAGATTAGGGGCCAGATACGATGGTTCAGTGGGTAAAAGCATTTGTCCACAAACTTTGACACTCTGAGTTCTATCCCTGGAACTCACAGCGGAAGGAAATAGACAACTCCTGAATTTATCCACTGGCCCACAAGTGTGCCATGGCATGCACATGCATGCTCGCTCTCTGACTTGGACACCTGTGCCCACTCTCCCTATCCCCCCACTAATAAATTTTATTATTTCTAAAAAAGGAGGTAAGAGGGGAGACAGGAGAAGGGAGAAAGGCAACCAGAAATTGTGCCTCTCACTAAAGAAGAAAATAAAAAAAAAAAAAAAACTGGGCTGGAGAGATGGCTCAGTGGTTAAGAGCATTGCCTGCTCTTCCAAAGGTCCTGAGTTCAATTCCCAGCAACCACATGGTGGCTCACAACCATCTATAAAGAGGTCTGGCGCCCTCTTCCGGCCTTCAGGCATGCAGACAGAATATTGTATACATAATAAATAAATAAATATTAAAAAAAAAAGAAAATAAAAAAAAAACAACCTGGGTCTGGTCTGACTAAGCGGTACGCTCAGGAATGCAGGGAACAAAAGGCTACGTTGCCGCCTCACCACCCTACCATATCTATCCAGAGTCAACTAAGTACGCTTCAGGTCTGTGTGCCCGACACTGGAGCTTTCTCCTGAAACAAGGAGACAACACCTGAGTCTCTGTTGGGAACTCCTGGTGAGCTCTTGACAGAGAGAACTCGATGGAGGGCTTGAATGACAATTCATTCTCTATCTTGTTTGAACCACAGTAGAAGATGACTTTTTGCGTAGGTATAGGCACATTGCTTTTCTCCGAAATTTCTTGATGTTACTTTACTACTTTCTCATCCAAAGTGTCTGATTACTTTCCTTTTGTACGCATCTTGCTAGTCTGAAGTCCAAGGCTTAGTAGAGAGTGCACTTGGTAAGCACTTGCTCCCATCTGGCTGCCCTCCAGCTCTTTCAATCCTTCCACTGTTCCCTCTACTCTATCTAGCTGTGTCTCCTTCACTTGCTCTTCTCTGTGCATTTTTGCTTGATGTACTCTTTTACTAAATCTTCTAAGTCACAACTTTGAGGATTTACAAAATCATCCTCTGTATAAATTATACTTTTGTTTCATTTCAAAATTATTTTATGCTATAAATAGAAGCATGTCATTCTGTTCTCTTGAGAACTGTTCTGCTGTCAGACTTGACTTTTCCCAGCATTGGTCCTACTTCTACAGCCAATGTGCTCTGGACTATTTCCTCATTCATAGCCTCCTCGGCTGCTCTGAAGCAGACAACTCAACAGGACGGAGACGGCTAAGGAGACTACTTTTCCTTATCTGCTAATGGGTCTCCTCTTCCTTAAAGCTCCAGTTCACACTAGAATAGCTAAAGCAATGTGTGAAGGTGCTGAGGCATTTCTGATAGCTAAAGGTTGTGATCATTGTCCAAAGGCCTCTGCTTCTTGTTTCTTCATAGAACCACAGTCACACACTCCCTAAGGAAGTCTCCTGCTTGCCCACCAGGTGGTAGTAATTTAAGAAAAAACAACATATCGCCAAAACACTTCATGACACTGTGTGCATTTGGGAAAGTCAAAGCCCAAAGTGTCTGTGACTGTAAAATGTTATTTTATAAAAGCAAATTTCATCCGAGGGGCTCCCACCTCTGCTCTGCACCAGCCCGCCTCAGGACCTTCACCGAACCTCTTAAGAAGCCACTAGGCAGCTTTGTAACACCCTGGAGACCCTCTCAAGTCTTGGACCAAGTAAAAATAAAGCCTTTTGAAACAGCAAGAAGAAAAAAAAGCAAATTTCACACAGAAATAATTTTGAAGAAAGTATAGCCTTTCTTCTTCCTGAATAATCACTATATAAAATTATTTATAATTTTATGTATTTAAGGAGAAATACTTTATATACAATCACACCGTGAATTTCTTTAATACAAAGTACAACAATAATTATTTTATCAACTGCCATTCAATTCAATTTTAAAAGCTGGAGGAATAAAAGGATTTATTACTGTCAATTATAAAGTGCCAACATGAAGCTGGAGAGATGGTTGAGCAATAAAGAGCCTGGCTACTCTTTCAAAGATTTGGGTTCAATTTCCAGCACAAACATGGTGGCTCACAACTATCTGTAACTCCTGTCTCATAGGATTTGATTGGCCTGATCTGATCTGGCCTCCAAAGGCACCAGGCACACACATGCTACACAGACATTCATGCAGATACCCACTTACAAAAGTAGATAAAATACATGCTTCAATATTTAAGTTTGATGCAATAAACTTCAGGTAACAAGTAAAATGAAGCACAGAGCTTACACAGTGGATATTTATTTATAGACTAGTCTTACTTTTTGACGAAGGCTGGCCTTAAATACAGCATTCTGCCTCAGTCTCTCGAGTGCCAGGATTATAAGCACACTATACTTGCTTAACTGTGAACTTTTCAAAATCTCAGAATGGAAGGCGTGGTTTATTAGGTAAAAGTGTTTACCATCCGAGCATGAGGACCTGAGTGTGAATCCCAGAACACACAAGAAAGCTGGATGCAGCGAGTGAGCAGCTACAACCCTGCATCCCTGCAGGGAAACAAGAAGTGAAGATCAGAGAATCCCTGAAAGCGTGTGGGTCTGGCATATGAAAGGGAAACGAACAAAGAGGTTCTGCATCAAACAAGATGGAAGGAAAGAACAAATGTCCAAGAACCCCTTTTTGAGAGTTTACTGGGAAGAACATCCTCAGCACCGGGCCTTTCACTCTAAAAGCACGGCTCATTTCCTCAGCAATGGACAGCTTTGACACTTCTAAGAAATGCCTCATCATTTTTCTCAGAGAGTATATTCTCAGATCCTATTACTTTATGAATAAGATACTTCTAACCACTTGTTACTCACACATAGAAGTAACGATCATATGTTAATTTTCTGACAGTCTTGGTAAACTTTTAGCTCAAATAACTTGTCTACAGATCCTTTCAGACATTTATATGGCTCTGTAAATAATGAAACTTTTGTTTCTTCCTCCATGCTTCTCATTTATTTATGCAATTTCCCCACCCTGTTTGTTAGAACTTCCAGTATAATGTTGAATAAAAGTTAAAGTATCTTTTTGTTTCTATTTTCAACCATTTTCTTTGTTGACTGCATGAAATCAAGAAAACCCTCTAAGTTTGCTAAGGATTTCCTTCCTTCCTTCCTTCCTTCTTTCCTTCCTTCCTTCCTTATCAGCAATGGTGTTAAATTTATTAACAATTTCTCTTCTTTTATTGAGATGACCATACGACCTTTATATTTTATTATATTAATATGAATTTTTCCTTATTAGTTTTCTTTCTTTCTTTCTTTCTTTCTTTCATCATAGATTCATTAAGAAAATGTGAAAAAGAACTCCTAGGAGT